CGCTTATATCTCATTACAAAAATTTGAATTTAGCTTATCAAAAATCCACAGCAAATCCAACATAGCTAAGTATTTCTGAACAAAGGACTGATGAAGATGAAAATCTTCAGAAAGTTCAATTTCTGCAGGTACAAACCAAGTATGCCAAGTTATTACCCCTATTCTCTCTAACTTACAGAGAAATCCTGAGACAACAAGTTGAACTCTTTCCTGATAACCTCAAGGATTTTATTCTTGAAGAAATCAAGTCTGATGGTTTCAAAGAATGGATTGATATCCAAAACTACCTCAGAAATAATAGTCCACTCAAAGGAACCCGTTATAACTATTTTTTCCTACGATTTATACAAACAGGCAACCTCATTCTTATGGCCATTATCTTGTTAGACGTTGACATTGTTTTCTTCTATCCTTTTAAAATAACCAGAAAAACCTGCTTCTTTACAAAAACAACCATCTGTTATCTAAGCAATCTGTCAGAGTTAGGAATGATCTACAGTATCACCATACCAAAAAACATGCCATTAGAGTAACTAGATTCTTTAGGTAATTTTCCCAATCGATTAAACCAAGCCATTGCTTTCGAACAAAAACTAACTTAAAAATTGTTTTCGAACAAAAACTAACCCAAAATTTCATGCCAGAAAGTCCAATTCTCCTTCAAATTCACAGTACTCCCCCAGAATGGGTAAAAGATGGAGTTATAATTTTGGGACATCATCGAATTTCTATTCATTCTGATCCCACGGAAGTCAAAGTTCTTACCTAACATGTTTATTTTGTAAATAACTTTCTTAATGAGATAGAACCAGCTACCTTTAACCATCTGGTGTACTATAAAGCTTATTGTCAAGTTAACCTAAACTACAATCCTAGTTTCGGACACTATGATCATAATATCAACATGGAAATTTTTGTCAAAGGAAGAATTCCTCATGTCATTAAATCTCCTTCAGAAATTAAGATATCTCCAGAAGTGGAAGAAATAATAAATGAAGAAAATATGTTGTTGGAGCAGTTCGAACTCGCTTATCGAAAATGAAGAAACCAGCTCACCAGACAGCACTGATGAATATTTCGCCCGCAAGCATGAAAGAGAAAGAAATGATAGCCCAACAGATAGCACTACAGACAGAAATTTGTCCAATATGCAAGAATTCTACAGAAAAAACAGATTCGCCACAATGTACAGATAAAGGCAGCCCCAGCATCCAAGAAAAACAGATTCTCAATAGTGTATAGATAAAAACAAATCCACCGAAAGCAGATTCTCAACAATAAAAGTTGATAAGACTCGTCAGAAGTAGACCTCAATAGTTCAGCAATAATTCAAGCTATCTTATCTCTAAAACATACATCTTGCATCTCAATCGTCTATGTAGCATCTTCAATCTCAGCCAAAAATTCATCCCTCTCTTCTTCTATAAAAGGAGCCTCTCTGCTCAAGAAAAGATTATCAAGTTTTAGAGCAATCAAGCTAAGAGCCCTCAAGCATTCCAGCCTTTATAGTTTCCCAGTGTATTTTCTTTATTTTAGAGTGTTCTCTTTTTGTAAAATATTGTGTGAGAGTGTATCCATGTACAAACAGTGTGTATCTATGTATATATTTCTTATGAAATAAATCATCCAGTTTGCTTTTATTCCAAAAATTTCTTTATCCCTATTTAGTATTTTAAGTACTTTCGGGCAAAAGACTTCTATCGACAAAAAGATCAAATATATAGGTTTTATTTAGCCAGACAGTGTAGATCCTAAAATTTTCTTGAATTCAACCAATACAAGCAGCCTTAGTTTTAATTTAACAATTTCTTCTGTGAGTTAACTCGAACTGTTGGCTTGTTGGCCCGTTCTTTGCCGGTGTTCAGGCGTTTCTACGGGGCGTTATCAAAGCGTTATCAGGTTCGACAGTCATTTATGTGATTTAATTCTTATTTTATCTCTATATTATTTGCATGCTTCTATCCGGTTAGCTTCAACTTAATTTTGGTATTAGAGCTATACTGTTTGGTTAAATTTAATTTATATATAAGATCTTTTGTCTAAAGGAATCTCTAAGTCTATATTAATCTACTGTGAAATTTTAATTACATATTTAATAGTTTGTTCACAAAGCTTTTGCAAGTTTATTTCAAACTCTAAGGTCAATATAAAATAAAAGTATTACTTTGGGTCTTTAATTATAATATAGTTTGTTGTGTGGTACAAAGCATAAAGTGGAATTTATTTTAGAGAAATATTTTGGTGGTCCATCCAATTATTGAAACTTTAAGACCTTGTCCCCATTATATTGTAGTATTTGGGCCTTAAGCCCATGTATTGGTAAAAATCCCTATTTTTTATATCAACCCATGAACAGAAAAATAATAACACTAGATTGAACTCAAATCTCTTTCATGTTAATTGAACTCAAATCTCCCCTAAAATCAAGTATGTAATCAACGATACTGTTGATGTTCATCCCAAAAGTATTTTATTTGCATAAGCAAAAAGTATGGCAATTAACATGCAAAAAAAGCATGATAGGTCATCGGCATATGGATTTCTCTAACAACTAAGTATTTTCTACCATTTGAATGCTGCAACAGCACACCAAAGATTCGCTTGGAAGGATTACAATTTAGATGGAAATTTTAGTTACTAAACAAATTGAACTAGTTCAACTTTTTCTTCAATGAGTTGGACATGATTGTAACCCCAATTAAACCGGTTCAAGTTTTTTCTTGAACTAATTGGACGTGATTGTAATCTCAATTAAATTGATTCAAGTTTTTTATAAACAAGTTTATCTGTGCTAGAGATTTGCAAAAATTAGTTCCTGATTAATTTTTGACTCTCCAAAAGGTTAGACTTGTGAGACAAGTTAGGTTCCTTTGTGTGCCAACCCTAATAAGACTTTAGGGTGTGTGATGGTGTGAGTCACAAGGTAATCGGTGTGCAAAACCATGTAAGATTGACAATGGTATGAGAATTGTGAGTGTCTTAATTGTTGATTGATTTTGTGTCTACACAATAGATGGTAAGTTGAGAGTTTGAAAGGAAATCTCCATTATATTCCTTTATATTGGAATTTATTTGAGTGAATCATATACATCTTGTCTTCTTGTGATTAATGTTTTTCCCTTTTGATTGTGATTATTTCTGTCATCCATTTTTTTTGGAATTCCACCTGTCTGGCACATTTGAAATGCCTCAAAAGAATATTCTATGGAGATTGATATGAACTGCCGACCAGCCTAAAATTTGGAAGTGTTCTCCCCAGAACTTTTGATCCGACTTGTTTCACAGAGTTGTGCCAAAATTTACTGTCATCCCCTACTCCTATTATTCAATTTTTTAATGATTTTATCAATATTTATGAACTGATCAATATTGTTGAACTGACCAAATTGCTACTCTAGGCCTCAAATACTGTTAAAATTAAGACGTGAGAGAGAAATAAATCTATATATAAATGTATAGGCAAAAGACTCTTCAGATTAGTTAAACTAGTGTTCAATTCTCTTAAATTCAAAGAGATCCCAACGGCCTGTTTGAATTTGATTTTTTGCCCCAATTATCAGCATTTGCTAACTACTCTTTGCTTTCTTCCCATATCTCAACAATATTGTCACACTTAACGTTTCACTTCAATTTACACTATAAAATTTTATCATTTTCATCTCATCAAAGAAAAGTATAGTACATTAAATATATAAAGTTGATGGTCATCCTAACACTGTGTTATTTGAATATGCGAAAAAAAACATGACAATTAACCGAACAAACTTTTAGATATATACTTCTTGCTAAAAATGGAGAAATTATGAAACTTGCATTTTGAAATTTGGTTATGACCACTTTGACCATCAATTCATAGTTGATTTGGTGTGATATTCCCTTCAAGTATGTGTTTTGAGTGAGATGAATTTTAAATGAACAGTGTTGTCACAAATTTGGTACAGTTGTGACGATACTGTCCATTTCAAATTTGTGACGGCATTTGCACTTTAACAATTAATAAACATCTGGCAAAGTACACGTGGTCTTGGCCGTGTAGCTGATTTGAACGCTCGACCTTTCTAGAAGGTGGAAGAGATCTCTCTTAGAGATACTTCTACATGAGTATTTTTTTCATGTCAACAGACTCAACTGTTAGTATGTTATATCATCACAGTTGAGACAATTATCATTTCATCTATCATCATCACACTCGAACCCTTGTGTCCTGCAGGCACTATTTTGTTATATGGAGAACAGCATCATGTCCACTCTGCTGCTGCGCCATTAGAGCCTAGAGGAGACAAGTCCCAAGCACACCTTCGACTGTTCGCAACTGTCGATAGCAATTCTTTTAAATTTCAATCATAACAGGTACCCTAAATGTTCCTGGCAATTGCCAAGGCCTATTCCTTTCATGAGTGAAGGGCATTGTTGCAGAACAGCATCTACTGCAGCCATGTTGAATAGAACCTAAATCAATTTGTGTCTAGCTAGAATGCATAGTATATACGTTTCGCTATTATATCTATAAGTTAATGCAAAACACAAACGAAATATAATCAATATGATTGTCGATCTTCTGTAGGTTTAAACTGAGAAAGACCCATCCATTACATTCACAGTAGGCTGTGTTGTAAGAACAAAAAATGAGAGCAGACCGGCAATTAAAGGTTTTCCTTAAAACAGAAGCGTTAGCAAGAAAATCAATCAGTAACATAATCGGAGCAGTGGATAATGTACTATCAAGTAAAGGGTTACCTTATACTTGAGTCCAGTCTGTCAGCAGTATATTTCTTCACTGTTTTTATCCTTAGAAGAGAGACATCCACAACCATGACAAACCTCGGTCAGCTATCTATCTTTTTGAAATACCATTCGGGAGTCTCTTTACATTTTAATTTTTACTCTTAAATGATTACAAAAATTAGTTTGTTTCAGCGAGAAGCCAATCCACCATAAACTGGTGGCCAAGCAGGGACATAGGAGTGAATAGATTAAAGCTGTTCGTAAGGAAATAGAAATGCTCCGAAAAAACTCTGATTTCACATTCTTATTTCTGGTCATACATATCAAAGCACTTGAGCTGTAGTACAGATCTATTAGACCTTTCTGGATGACTAAAACATGCAAATATGTGTTCTACTCTTAACATAAAATTACCTCAAGAAACGAGATGGAAGTGTCTGACAACGAAAGAGGAGCCAAGCCATATGCCAGAAATGCATACAATAATTAGATCTTTTATATTTTGTCCTGGCCCCCCCATATATTATTAGAAACGGATAGCAGCCGTTCTCCATAAATCAAAACATAGCAACAAATATCCATTATCATCAGATCCGAAGAGGAAATACCTAACATGGAAACTCTCCCTTTAAGAAGCCTTTGGTGCTTTATCTCGTAGGACATTATCAGGAAGTATAAGCTCCGGAGGTGTTTCACGGACAACACCCAGCATTGAATCGTAGTCCTCATCTCGCCGCGCAAACTTCTTGCGGAGCACCTTCTCGAACTCGATCTCATCAAAACTCTTGGCATTTTCAGCTGCATGAACCTGAGCTAAGTTGGTATAATTTGTGGCTGACTGGGAGATGAAGGCCAACTCTTCTTCTGTGAGCTTCCTCAGGAACTTTGCTGGATTGCCTCCCCACACCTGTGTTTAAAAATCACTTATTAGACAACTAAATATAATCCATTTGCCCATTTCAAGTCAGATACAAACACACATCCACATTTAATAAGACTTTGTTCGACCCAAATCCCAACAGTCATTTTACTAGGATATTAACTTCAGCAACTATGCCATCAAAGACCAGTAATAAACTAGCAAGGTGGCCAAAAATGAAGTCTTGGATTTTTCAAAACCCTAGAAAATACTCAAATCTCCAAGAAGTTATTCACCCTGGCCAAAGATATTTGTAATTTGGTTCTGAATTTCTTCAATGGAAGGGATGCAGAAGACACAAACAGAAAGTAGTAGTACAAATTTTTGAAGCCTAACACTTGAATAAATCTATTCAATGAGAACCTTTTCAGCACAATACCTTCATGAATGACATAAAAAAGAGTAAAAACCATTAAATAAGAAAACCCATATATCACATAGTTTGCTATGCTTTAGCAATATGGCCCGAATATATCACATTATATATATGTGTATGTATACCATATCTGTATATATCAAAACCAAATTTCATTTTGATTCATGTGAAAACAAGATACTGAAAATATTTGTAACTCTCTAAATATAGAGGCATGCGGGTAAAATGAACACCCAAAAGTCATGTATGTGTTTTATAAACCTCTCCGCAGGGGATCCTGGTATTCTGCCTCACAAGGGCTCCAGCAGCAACCATAGCATGTTTCTCAACAAAAACCCCATCAAGCAAGGTTGCTCCCATACCAACAAATGCCTCATCCTCAACAGTGCATCCATGCAAAACGGCACTATGACCTGTGCAGTTCAACTTAAAGATTGTAATGCAAGATGCATACTAAAAATTCACTCAAAGACCAAATCAACGTCAGTTAAAACTCGACTGAGAGTCACTCACCCACAGTAACATTGTCACCAATAATAGTTGGCAAAACCTTCCCAGCTAGATTAGATTTGGCTACATGAACAAGAGAATTGTCTTGTATATTTGTTCCAGATCCGATACTGATGCTGTTAACATCACCTGCATCGCAGCAGTCACATTCAGACAAAGAACAATATATGAAAGCACATGCATGTAGCAGCAATTTTTTTGTTTTCTCCTATGTTGTTCAAGGTGTTTTAGGGGGAAGGAGGGGGGAGAGGTGACATATAGTTGCAATCATCTGGAGAAAGAATTTGAGGGAAAAAGAAAAAAAAATTGCAAATACTGGGTGCAGCATCATTTCATTTGAACAGCTAATTTATTTTATTTTATTTTATTTTATTTTCCAGAAGCAAATAATTCAATTAAATAGTGAGTATACCACAATCCATATGTATCAAATCCAAAACCAAACAGGCCACATATCAGCCTCAGCTAAACAAAGAAAATAAGATTAGAATAATGCAAGCGTTCTGCATAGTGGCCATCACTGCAACCTCTGCCCCCAACATAGTACTATTTTCATGGTTTTGCCACATTTTCGGCATCCAGCACATAACTATAACTTCAAGAGTCTTCAACCATCTTCTTTTGTTGTTTATGACATTCCATCTCCTCTCTCTTTGTTACTGTTAAAATACCAGGACCATTCGGGATAATTTAAATACCCACTCCTTTTTCTTATTCATAGCTCCAGGCCCTCTCTCTAATCATATAGCAAGCTCCCCTTCATATTGAATTCTCTTGGCATCATTTTGCCATCACCAATTAAATGTCTAAACTATAGAAGAGGATGGTCAGGTTTCATAGATTCTCATCTATGATACCTTCCGAAAATACACACACAGATTGAGATCTTTCAGTTCACAACTTCAGAATATGCAATTGCACGTAGAATTCCTTGCAGAAGGTTATATGCAGAAAAAATTAAGAATATTGCTGTCTAGGTTGCGTTATAGACTGTAGTGAAGTAATCAATTACTAGAACCAAACTAAGCTTCTTATTGCGATTGAAGCATAATTGACTGTCTGTTTCACCATTACCAGGGACAGCAGCACGCTGCATTATATAAACTGGGTTTAAAGAGAAGATTACATTTTGCAGAAGGTTCTAGTTGCAGGAGTTAATCAAAATTGTGTAGCATAATTTGAAGAAGTATCCCCAAACCATGAACTAAGGCCTCTTAAAAACAACTTTAATCATCACCCTGCCCAAAGCCCACCTATCCTGCCCCCTGCCTACAACAAAAAGTTTCCCACTTCATTTCCATGACAAATCCTTGATTCAAAATTTACAGTTCTAGAACCCAATTCATACACTTTGATTCTTAGAATCTCAGTGAGCTCTGAAGTTTGACGCCCAATTGTCATCCTACAATTTCTAAAACCATCATGCTTATATTTTTCATGTCATGGAAATAAGAAACTCATAATCCGCATAATATTATAAATAAGTGATTCAAAGATTTGAGATTGCACTTCAGTCATTTAAAAACATCATTGTGAAAAATAAAAAATAAACTCAAAAGCTGAACTGCTGCTGATGGGCTGGAAGTTAAATAGGAGTTCTAAAAGACATTACCAAGCTTGACTTTGGTGCAGTTTACCTCTCAAAACACATCCATACCAAATAGAAGAACCTCGTCCCACCAAAACATCCCCAATGATAGAAGCACTAGGAGCCACAAATGCATCCTTATCAACAACAGGAGCTTTATCAAATATGTTCATGAGTGTCCGATGCCTTGACACTAAATAAAAGAAATAATAGTTAGAAGAATAATACATTAAAATAGATTCCCAGCATGTTATAAAACAAATTAACAAGTGTGATCAATAAACAAGAAACAACATAATATCCAATTCAACATAAAGAACATTAACAGGAAAATTATGATTAATGATGCAAAAGTAGATTTAAGAAAAAAGGTTGGCACAAAAGAGGATGCAATTATATATATATATATACACACACACACACATATATATTTGGTTACACCAGTGTTCCTAACCATCTTGAGGAATCCGGCAGCTTAATTGAGAATACTAAGAACTTTCATTCAATAAATGAAAAATTTGTTGATAGAATTGGTTCATGTAGAAATTTTTGCATAACACAAAATTTAAATCTCTTAGTGAAGAAAAAAAATATGAATCACCCAGTGTCCAGATTTTTCACCAAAATTGCCAGTAGTCTTGCTCCATAAAGATTCTTTGGTTACAACATAGCTTTTAAGAAACATACCAACAAAATCAAAGTCCAATAGTACAAAATTAGAAAATCCCTTTTTGAAGAATCCTACAAGCATATTGAGAATACAAACAACCTTTAACGCAATAAAAGAAAAACTTTAGACAATATATTCCATTGACATACAGTATATTTTTCCATAAAAGAAAATATCATTCTACCAGTGGTCTGCTTCTTCACAACAATCACCAGGCAATCTAGCTCCCTATTAGTTCCTCTAACTATGATCTTTATATAAACAAATAAACACAATTCGAAGTTCAGAAATCCTGAAGTAGTGAAACTCCAAATTTTTTTTCTATTCAATCAAATGGAGACTTTAAAAAATAATAATAATAATAGTCAGTAAATCCTAGCTTAAGCAATGCTAAGGTACAACAATGTAAGGTCACTGATATTTGTCAAGATTTAACAGCTCTGAAATTTCTATGAACAATCAAGTTGCGTATGTAAATTAAAATACTTTCTCAATATGATGACAAACTCCAAAAGCAATGATTTTTACCAATAAAGCATTCGTCCATTCCATAGTTGAAACTACACATTCACAGTATCTCTCATTATCGGTGCATTAACCACCAGAAAAAGATGCATACACAAAAACATGTTTTCATTCTAGTCCTCTTGTAACTAGCAAGATTAAGGATTAATAACAAAATTAGCAAGATTAAGGATTAATAACAACACTCCAATACCATTGCCTGGTAAATATATAAAAAATGACTCATCTTCCCAAACTATGAAACTAATACATACATAAACACACACACACACACATATATATATATGCATATATGGAGTGCATACAATGAAACAACAGGAATATGAGATTTTATCGAAGACCAATTCAAAATGTTTCGCATTAATGTGTATAAGACTTAATTACTGAACCCTAAAATGTTAATAATATATGATGTTTTGATGTGGAAAAACTGAAAAATCAGAATATGTATTTCTAGGGTTGAAAATGATGGGGATCATTGCGAGGATCTATGAAGGTTTAGACATAGAGGAAGAAGGTTGCTAACATACGCTGTTCTTGGAAGTAGTAGTTGCCTTGGAAGCGGCAGCCGAGACGATCAAGGGCTTGGCCGGTTTCGCGGATCCAGAATCCGACGGTGTAGATTGCTCTTCCCAACGTTCCCATCTTTTGAGCTTCAATTCCACAAACTGTTTCTTCCGAAATCGAACTGTGATTTTAGAGAGAGAAAGTGAGAGAGAGAGAGAGAGAGAGGTGTTCAGTTTATAGCTGCGAAGGTAAAGCAATAGGGGGAGAAGAGAGTGTGGAGACCACAGCATAGAGAGAGAGAGAGAGCGAGGAGAGAGAGAAATGGCCAGGTGTAAAACGAATGGGTTGTACAGTGGTAACTCTATACTGTGAAAGTAGTTCTCTACAGTAACTTTTACCATGATACCTGAAGAAATAACAAATCACTTCTTAACACGTGTCTAGTAGTTTTTTTTTTTTTTTTTTCAAAAATAGAAATGATACAAAATTGTCAGGGATTTCAATTTGGGGGACACGAAATCCAACTCAAGTCCAACGTAGTGTTTGAAGAAATTTGCATAGTTTCCAATTTTTGTTTGAAGAAAATAATGAATGCCTGAGGTTTTTGTCAATTTTCTTTTTTATTTAGAAAAAAAAAAGAAGAAAAATCAATTTAGGGTACATCCATTTTTTACTCAATTTAAGAAAAATATTTCTCAATTAAACTCAAAAATAACTTGTAAACTTGAATTTGTGTAAAGAGATTTAAACATATGACATTTGTCGTAATACATAGACATTCACCATTCATTAATTGTGTAAATACGTTTTGATCCGAAAAAAAAAAAAAAAAAAAACATAAACATTGACACGAGAATGTGTAAAGTTGACAAAATCTATACTCATGTATAGATTAAATTTTTTTTTTTTAAAGTACAAGCTCCTTGTATTTGAATTCATACCCATGTATGATTAATTTGGCAAATACTAAATATTTCTCACTATTTCAAAATTATGAAAGGAAGATGTTCAAAAATTAATTTCTCCTAGAAAATTTTCCACCCTGTGGACAAATTCTCACCAATAAAGCAAGAAAATCAAAATTATGAATCTCAACCCAACAAAAAGGGAATTTTGAACATCTTTTAGCTGCAATTCTAGTTCAAGTGTTTAGAGCAGTCACTTTGTTCTACAGTACTAGTAATATAGATCAACTATATATCAAGTCCACTCTTCCTAGCTTTTGCCATGTAATGAATGACTTTTATAAATGTCTAAAGTTTATCCAGAGTAATTTAAGTCACGTCAAACAAATGTATTAACTTTTTAAATTTTTTTTTTTTTGCAAATCAAGGGATTCGAATACAGGCACACCCGCTTGGAGAGCTGGACGTCTCTATCAACTACGTCACTGGATAATGCTTAATGCATTAACTACTGTAACAACATTTTCTTCCAGCTTATCATTTCAAAACTTCCAAATGCATCAGATGTTGTTCAGACAGGCTACAATTACTAATTGGTCACAGCAACATTCAAATTAAGGGTTAAACTGAGTCACTGCCTCAAGCTTTTTAACAACATAAGAAGCATAGAAATTCCTGCAACAGGAAACATTCCCAACAACTTGCGACAGGTTTGATGACACTTGTATGTTGCGGACACCCCTTTAATCATGTATCCACGTGTTGAACAAAACTGTGAGCATCGAAAGAGTGTACAGAGCAAACAACATCTAGACAGTGCATGGACTTATTCTATAGCAGCTGCAACGGACTTGTTCTCAATCTTTTTCACTGAGAGAACAAATAAATATATAAGGTTATGTGTGTACCTCTAGTAAGCTCCACGCACCCCAAAATGAGGGGAACAAATCTGGGTAAATTAGCTTTTTTATTTACTGAGACTGTTCATGTGTATGAAAAAAAGTAATGAACATTTAAGGATGTTAAGGGATACAATCCAGGAAGAAGCGGCGGATCTCAGCAAGGCGGTGTGGAGGAAGATCTTTGATGTCCTTGTAATGGCGGAAAGCAGGGTCATCAGCACACACTGCTATTATTTTGTCATCCTTTTCACCCTACAAAATAATTCAGTATACCAGTTAGTAAATAACAATTCCTATTCCAGAGGGTATTAAATCGAACATTGAACGAAAAATGGGAGAAATTTGATCATAGACTAAAATAGCCTGTTAGTGAATTTCAAAAGATCAAATATCAGAAACTTCACATTTCTTTTTACTGTGCAGATTCATGAAGTTAATTATAATGTCACTGACCTCTGATCAACCGTCATCAGCTACTTCGCTTCCGTATTTTTCTGTTTCTCTATTTACTTTTTGATGGAGAACGAGCTATGATTTTTCGAGGTTCCTATATTTGATACAATATAGGAACCTCGAGGAAGAAAAAAAAAAAAAAAAAAAAAAAAAAAAAAAAAAGTCACCTAACCTTTCTGTTTCTCTATTTACTTTTTGATGGAGAACGAGTTATGATTTTCGGAGGTTCCACCTAACCCTAGCTTGCCTGAGTTTTCCATTCCCACATCGGCCCCTAAACACTAATATTTCTTCAAAGAGGTAAAGAAATGTCGACTGACACAAAATTTAAGCAGCAGAATTAAATGCCTTTAGCTGATCAATCATAGGCATCGAATCCAATGGCACAAGCACGGAGGAAAGAACCAGGTAATACAGGTTCCTATTGCAAGATGGACAATCCAAATGTCAACATCATAAATTTAGCTGAAATGAGATCTAATATTACTTTCATTATGGTGAGATTTAGTGCACTAAAAGGAAGCTACCTGCATCAGTAATAACACGAAATACATTCCCAATTCTATGAACATTGTGTAAACAATATAGAGAAAGTGAGAAACAAGTGCAGAGGAAAATTACAGGACGTCCGGGTTAATCTTATGTCGTTTTCATGTCATGCCAGCGATGAGCACTAACATGTCAATGTGACATAGACGAAAGTGGATTCTGTCGTTGAGGAGCATAATTTTATGAGCAAATCCCCATAATCTTAACGAAGTCGGAGTACTAATTTTAGAGGAAAATCATAAGAAGGCATTTGAAAGACAATCTACAATTCTACATGTGCAGACTAGTTGATGATTAAATGGATTACAAGAGCCTTGCGGGAAAAATTTAAAAAAAAAATAGAAAAAAAATATCAGATCAACTCTATCTATCCTCGGTCAAATATAGAATTAAATGTTATCTATGATTTTCAAATCAATAAGGAAGAATCTATATAAAGCAAAAACCCAGTATAGAAGAAAAAGCCTTACATGGAAGAATTTATATGAATAAAGATTACTATATAGAAAAAAAGTCTTGTATGGAACATAATGATAATGGTGAATAAAACGTGACGGACAAGAAATTTCTCTTGAATATTTACTGTGCATTGTTTTTATTATTTTTATCGACTGTTCTGCTTTTATTCTTCAATTTATTATAATTGTCGAATTTTTGAACCTACAATATGAGTGCATAAGTGTGTGTGAGAGAGCGAGTTTGCGCATATTTGGGCGTAGAATGACCATATAACAATGGGTTTACAAACAAATTTAGCAAAAGCATTATAAACACACACACACGTATATATATATACACACACACACACAAAAGTCATCAGCAGCAACTTTGTATTGAAATGGAAGAATATGGGGGACTACCAGACATGAACATCTAGGGTTTAACATTTCAAAATCGAATAAATTGAATAAAACGAAACAGAGTTCGCATATAACTTGCCTTCAAAGAATAGACAATAACTCAGCAGTTTCGCTGTGATGCAGGCTCTAGCTAATAGGATTGAACATATATAAAACTGTATGCATAAATGGATGTATATCAGTATATCATGTATATATAAGAAAGTTGGCTATGGCTGTATTTTGGTCGTCATTTTTTGTTTAGTTTGCTTCGTTACTTAGTAGCACCGGCACAAGAGCTGCTTATGTCTTCTCTCAAGCGGCACAGATAGTTGGGAGCTGCTCTTTAGAAGCATCTCGGATCTGTATACTAATTCACACTCACAGTTTTACCTTTGCATTTTTCTTTTTTTATTTTCTTTTTATTAATTAAGGCTGTGTTGTGTGCCATTAATTGTTGAAATTTTCATTTACTTTAGTGGAATCTTTTAATTCAAAAAAAATTCATTTCGATTTTCTGTTGGAAAAAATTTGAAGTATTGTAAATGGTTTTGAGAGAAACAAAATGAGAATTTTTTAAAAAGCAATTCGTTTTTATTGTTTTTGTTTCTCGATGTGAAACAAAATGAGATTGTAGAAATGAAATCACGGCAAAACTTTTAAATGTACTATTTTTAAATAAAATAATGACATAAATAGATTTATTTATTTATTATTGCCTTATGGTATATAGGGATATTGCTTTTGGTACGCGAAATTATGTTCATATTACTTTTATTATTCTGAAATAATTTAGATGGGAAATGATTCTGGTACCGAATAGTTAAAATAGTTAAAGTGAATTGCTATTTATTTTTTTAAGGACAATGCTTGGGTATCCACAAGGATGAATTTCATCCTCCGTCTGATGTGGTCCAATGTCATTAAAATATGGGTTTAAAAAACAAAGAACAGAGTTAAAGATGGGCATTACCTATTTTTTAAACTGTATTTATTTATTTTTATTTTTATTTTTATTTTTTCCTTTTGCAACACAATCATCTGTCTTCATCTCTCTTTTCATGGCAAAGCAAATCTCTCTCTATCACCAAATCCAACATTAATATTCTAAATTTTTTTATCTTTTTTTTTTTCATAACTTTAATTCGATTGCTTATGGAATTTTATCAATTCATAGGACAGTGTGCCTAGCAATCCACTATTCCTTTTTTTTCTATGTTTAGTTAATTGAGATTTGCATTGATGTGAGACCAAAAGAAGAGAGAGAGTTGTTTTGCTGTACGTGGAAAGAGAAGGGAAGATAGAAGAAAATCGTGTTTAAGAAGGAAAGAATAAATAAATTAAAAAAAAAAAGGAAAGTAAAACGGTTTAACCTATAAAGAGTGGGTAATGCCCATCTTTAATTTATTTTTTATATTTAGACACATGTTTTAGTGTCATTGGACCACATCAGATGATGAACTCCATCCTCTTAGATGGAGGACTCAAGCATTATCTCTTTTTTAATTAGTCAATTATGTAACAAATAAAGAAGTGGAATCCCCCTTAGTTATATTTAGTATAAATAGACAATTAAAAACTACTCGGTTAGACAATTCATGCAAGTATTCGGTATGGGTATCACTACTCAATTTAGATTGAACATCCGGGCGTTGTAGAATCTATTAGGAAATTAATTTCCATTATATTAACAAGGATTAGGGGCTAGGGTTGCTATATTTTTATTTCTTCGAGATGACTGCCTTTGAAGATCTGTTGGCTCAAGTTTGGTAAGACCGCTCAAATCTTGCCTTTGTTAAAATGAATGTTTGGCCTTTGTATATATAGGCCGTTGTGCTCCTCCGATCTTCACCTTCATATGTGTAGTGAATCGGGTTGTTCCATATTAATTGTTATCTAATCTCTAATTCGTATGTATGCGTGTTTGTTTATTTATTTGTTGATTTGTTCACATCATGAAGGGTGTGACAAAAGCTAGGGAAGCTAAAATGAAAGAGCAGGAAAAAGGGCGAAATCGGAAGAATGGGCCGTTGAATAATGAATAGATTTGAAAAGAAGTTATCTGAGTTAAAACAAATATTACTGATTAATGAGGCTGGATCTCAAATTTAAGAACTATTAATCAAAGGTATGAGTGATATATATTATAACAATTATGATGCAGTTATTTTGGGCATAGATTTCAAATAACTCTTTTCTACTTTGTACTTGAAATTCATACATTTAGCAGTCTTATAATCAGAATGTGCAATTTCCTATTCTTATTTTTTTAAAAAAAAACAAACGCGAACTGAACATTCAAAGGTCTTCTTTGGAGAGAGCTCGTAGGATCGCTAAATGTCCTTTTGTTTTTATTTATTTTTTTTTTTTTTAATTCATTTTTGAGACATATGTACATATCAAATTAATCCACTAACTCAAAGCATAAAGTTTCCAAGAATATTATTAAGAGAATCACAATAGACCTTTTATCAGAGTCAAAAATTTTCTTAAGAAGGTACAAAATAATGACAAACCTTGTAATGTAATTTACCCTAGTTTTTATTTAAAATTAAAATAAAATTGATATAATAAGAATAAAGTTTGTATTTTAAAATCTTAAGTTATTGACATTAAAAAAAAACAAAAGTAAAGTTGCTCCGCTGAAACACAATATAAATTTATCTCAATAAATTTTATTTATAGAGTTTATGGGTGATAAATTTGTATTCGTGTCACTTGAAATAAAAATAGTATCAGTTAACTCAAATATGATCTATTTATTAAATAATTAACCTAACAGGATCCATTTAACAATTTATTTAATATTTTTTATTAATACAAAATGCAAATATAAAAATAAGAAATTGGTTATTCTCATGAAATTGGTCACGGCTATCATATTCGAAGGCCTTAACATGTTAGAGTCAGTTTTTGAATGATTCACATCAACTTCGTTATTTTCACGGTGTAATCTAATTGTGCGACGTGATTTATTTATGGAGTGTTGAATTACTATGGAGTACCCATAATTACTTTCGGAGTACCCAATAACTTTCTTGTTCTTATGACATTTTTATTTTTATTTTTTTTATTTATTCTTTTTGACCTTGGATGAGATGATTCATAACTGAAGGGGGCAATAATAAATTTTTTTAGTAATTTCAGGAGAGAACAATAGTAATTTATGAGTTTATAATCACAGTGTATAAACATATTGATTTAAAAATTGTGAAATAACTAAAAAAAATTATTTATTATCAATCAATCAGCCGGAAGACCAATCATCCAAAATCACATCCATAAATCTAGAAGGATTAGCGGAAGCAAAAGGCCAAGTATGAAGTGTTTCAAGCAGGTAAACTTTTATCTCATGGGAGTTCATTTGTTAAATACCAAAAGTTAATTCTTGCTATTTTTTTTTGTTTAATAATTGCTTGACTACTACAAAATTCTCATTTCATTCATTTATTTCAGAATTACAGAACCATGGCTTCAATCTTAAACAATGGAAGTTGCATCTTAACTGTATCATAGTAGGTGTGTAAATATACATGTATATTGAAAATATATAATCCAAAAAAATAGTTGAGGGAGGTTGGCAATGGCGGGATGGAGGAGATTGAGAGGTTAGAGAGAGAAAGTAGGAAAAAAAAAAAAAAAAAAAAAAAAAACTGTTTATCAAGAGGTAACTGGTTAAAGGGTATTTTCGTCTAAAATATAACTCCTTAAACAGATAGCAGTTGAAAATTTAAAATACCCCTCATGATAATTGAGGGGAGTTTTTTTGTTAAAATAATTCAAAAAGGAGATTTTTTTACTAACAAGTGAAAGTCGAGGGAGATTTTTTTTTTTTTACAATTCGTCCCAATTTTTATTGCAAGTTCAATATTAGGTAATTTTTTTTATCCTTTTTTGTTTAGTTTCCTTTATGTAATAAATTTTCTTAACTTTTTATGTTTCTTAATGACTAAATTTTTATTTATTAAATACGTGTATGGTGCGCCAAACGATTCAAATCCCAAGAAAAATTTTGATTGAATGGCTTCCACCGCTGCTGCGGAAATCATTGGTGGCAACGAGGAACTGGCGGTGGAGATCCTTCAATATCTGTCAGCAAAATCCCTCATTCGGTTTAAGTCAGTCTCTAAAGCATGGCTCTCTTTCGTCTCCACTCCTCGTTTCTCTCTCCTCTGGCAATCACATCATCATCCCAAAGTCTCTGGCATTTTCTTCAACCCTAGATCCCGAACTGAAACCATTAAATACGTTCCTCTCACTCGCTCCAACGACTTGAGGAATCAATGTGATATTGCAACCGTTATTAATGGTGGAGGAGAAAACAATTCACCACCTTTCTTTATGTATGCTAGAATCATAGACTCTCGTAATGGTTTTCTACTCGTCTTTTTTAATAAGAAGCAGAGCAGTAGTTCCGAATGGAGTCGGTCGTACCACGTTTATAATCCTACTACCAAGCAATTCTCTACTCTTCCGTGGCCTTTTCCGGCCACTTTTGCTGGCTTTATTGCTGACCATGTATATTTGGTTTTCGATCCTTTAAAATCACTTCACCACAAAGTTGTTTTGGTTCAGGCTTCAGAGCCTGGTAGTGCCTGCTCGATTCAAATACATATTTATTCGTCGGAAACCAATGATTGGCGGAGATCACCACTGGATGATGATATTGGTGATCATTTTCATCCTTTCCCAAAATCATTATATAAATCATTAAATAGTTTGAACTTGAATGGAGGAGTCTGTTGCAATGGTTCCATCCATTGGCTTTCTTACCACCCAGAAAAAACTTCCTTGTACTTTGATGTCGATCAAGAAAGGTTTCGCCCAATGCCATCTCCACCATATAACGGTGCAGGTTTTAAATTCGGGCATTTTGGGGAGTTCGGAGGTCATTTGCATTATATTACATTTTACAGGGGATTCAAGGTCAACATCTCCAAGATAGAAAGTGATTACTCCAAGTGGACAACAACGACGATGGTTGTTGATCTTGCATTAGAGGAGAAGAAGATGGTCGTCCGCAACAATACAATGCTTAGTTTAATCCATGGTGAAGATGAAGGGGATGTGTTTTTGGTACGTGCTGTACGCACCGAGATGAATTATATGATCATCTCCTACAATATTAAGGAGAACACCTTTAGGAAGCTTGGTGATGTACCACGCCGTCATGTTACGTCTTGGTATGATGGTCCTGTTTCGTCTTCGTATGATGGTGGTCCGTGGCCTACACACCGTTGTATCCATGGTTACATTGAGACACTCTTTCCTGTTTGATTGATAGTGGTGGTATATTATAATCACTTGGGGTTTGGGTGGTTTCTATTTCAGTGTTCTAATTGTAGATTCAACTCCAATCTTATTTTAGTTGTTTTATGTCCATCAATTTTATTATATCAATATTATTTTGTTTTATGGTATTCATTGATCACTTGGGCGGTATCTATTTCACAGAGTTTTAGTTGTCCTTTTTCTGCTTAGAAAAATACTCTTATTCCTACAATTCTCAGGTGTTTACTTGGTTGTGTTGCTATTATACTACTTTACTATCGGTATCTTACTGAAATTAAGTATTTGAAAATTTTTATTTATTTATATTTTAACACTTCATTGTGAATTGATTAATCCTCTGTAAAGTACTGATGTGTTCAATTTAATTTAATTGACATTTGTTCTTACAATGTAAATAAGATTAACAAAAACAAGAAAATTTTCTTTCAAAAACAGATACAGCAAGATAAGAATTCGTTAACCCACATCTCCAATTCAAAAGAGCTCTTTAATTTTTTTTTTTTTAAAACACACACACACACACACACACAAGTTATCAAGAACAGTTCTATTGATGCCAACTGGTTATAAAAAAAAAATAAAAATAAAAAAATCTCATCACGCCCACTCATGGCTGCACTATGCATTCTTGTTACCACAGTATTAAGTATAATAAAGTAACTAGTAATTTTTTATTTTTTTTATTTTTTATTTTTCTAGTTGCAACTAATAATATTTCAAATTTCTTTTTGAAAAAATATTCCATTTTGAGCAAAAAAAATTTCTATTTATTTATTATTATTTTAAACTTCCCCAAACGAGCTGCTTTTGAGAAATACTTAACTCTCCTAAATATAAAATATTATATGCAATAAAATATGAGGGTGTTTAATTTACCATTTTCAAAAAATAAACAAAATAATAATAAAAATGTTTCGGTGCTATTAAATTAAAAATAAATTGTAACTTGGAACTAATTGGATCTTGGGTATACATAATCAGACTCCCACTGAATCTGACCCACTAAAAATGGATTCCAGATAGTTAATTGAAACCTTTGCACATAATAAGAGATAAATATATCCTCTTTGGATGGAGAGATTTTTTCAAGATTAAAATCCAAAGTTGGACATAGGGTTATGTTTTTTAAGCAATCAAACATCAACGTGATCATCATCATCCATGAATACTAATGTGTATTCTGGGTACACATGCACAAAATCTTAGAGAGAGATCTAAATTGGTTTAACCCACTAGACAGCTCTAAAGATATCATAACATCCTCTTGAAATTTTTTTTTTTAACCAACTGCTGCAGCATTTGCTCAACTATTTTAAACAAATCGCAACAATAATATTCTCACGTATGCAGACGGCGTCAACGTGTCTAAAATTGTTTTTTACAGATGTTATATTGCCCACGTATGCAGACGGCATCATCGTGTCTAAAAACGTCGTTTCCAGTATTCACCGACGTCTTTGTTATTGATAGGGCAAAATCGCCTCCATCTTTGTCATGGTGCTAAAGTTTTTCAACTAAAATTTCTTTTTTTGAACCAATTTCTCAATTTAAACTTCTTAAACGAGATTCCAACCCTCGACGCATTTCATCCTTGATGTACAACACTCCATGGTCTCGTGTGTTAAGAGTGTTTTTCAATTTATCATGGTGCTTAATTTGAAGTGAAGTTATGAAGAGATCATTGTTCAATGTGGAGTTATGGTGGAGCACGTACGTGAAGACATAATTTTTTTCTCGAATGTTATAAATGAAGACATATTTTGATTACGTGTTAATTACTTGAAGAATTGAGATGTTCGAAATTGCTGATTTTGACTTACCTTTGCCACTGCCAAAATTAAACTGGTTCAAACTGGACGTGTAGTTTTTTGGCTTTGGACTACTGCCAAAGTTGAACTGGTTTAAATGGGGCTGAACTGGTTCAACTTGGACAGTAAGTTATTAGAAACATGAAAAAACAGTTTCCTAATTGGTTTTGGAAGCCAGAAGACTTGAAAAAAACTGAGAAGAAGTTGTACCTGCTATTTTATAGTTGAAACTGATATGTTAACTCCTTATAAGCAAGTTGAAAATACTTGTCTAGCAAGGAATTGGATTTTTAGACTCTATAAATAGAGGTGGGTACGAGAGATTTAGAAGAAAATTGTAGAGAGGAAAAGGGAGTTGAGATTGTAAGAAGGAAAAAAAGTGTGTAATCAAGTTTTTTTTTTTAAAGTAAATTTAGTAGTTCTTCGCCCGTGGAGACAATTTGCCAAATCACGTAAATCCCGTTTTGTTTGTATATGTTTTTCTGTCTGTTATATTTATTGTGATACCGACGACAGCGATTGTGTCATGATGGGCCAATTGCAAGGATGTCAGGACGCCACATGGTCAGAGAAGGAACAGGAAATGCACATGTTGCTGCCTGATGATGTCTTATGTGAGTTATGCAATATCAACGGTTGTTTAGGTTGCAACCTTTTCCAGCCAACCGCTACTAGTATTGCCGTTGCTACTAGTATTCCCGTTGAAGGGGGAGAAAAGGAGAGTAACACCAACAATGGTTGCAACTTTTTCCCGCCAACTATTACTAGTTTTGCCATTGAAGGGGTTGAGAAGGAGGGTAACACCAACAATAGCTGCAACTTTTTCCCGCCAACTACTACTAGTATTGCTGTTGGAGGGGGAGAGAAGGAGACGAACACGAACACAAACATGAACACGAAGAATGAGTACAGGGGAATTCGACGGAGGGAAAAGTGGAAGTGGGGGGCTACCATTGGAGACCCGCAGCAAGAGTTCTACGAGTGGCTCGACGCTTTATATACCGCAGAGGAAGCAGCCGAGTGTAGCAGTACTCATTTGGAAAAAAGTGATGAATTATTTTGGGAAATGCTAGAAGATGATGGCTTTCAAGAATGGTTGAAAATGAATTTTAATTTCCAACATGAAAGCTTCAAATCCCATAGAGAGGGTGGTTGTCTGCGTGTAACATGCTGATTATATATAGCATGTTTTGTCACAGTGCTTAAACGTGTTTGCGGTTGTTAGAAGGAAGAGGTAGTGAATAATAGAGACTAAAACAATTTTAGATTACCTGTTAATATATACTGTGTGTGTATATGCTTTATTATAAATTTGTTATATGTCTCAAGCAAATTTCTACAACAATTAAAAAGTTGGGGCTGGTCATCACTTTTATATGGGAGGTTGAGTGTTCGAGTCTGGTATAACAAAATATGAATGTGTTTAATTTACCATTTTCAAAAAATAAACATAAAAATAAATAATAGTAAAAAAAATGTCTTAGTACTATCCAATTGGAAATAAATTGGAACTTGGGTATTCATAATCAGACTCCTGCTGAATCTGACCCACTGAAAATGGATATAATAGATAAATATACCCTCTGGAGGGAGAGATCTTTTCAAGCTTAAAATCCAAAGTTGGACATATATCAGCAATCAAACATCAACATGATCATCATCATCCATGAATAGTAATGTGTATATTCTGGGTACACATGCACAAAATCTTAGAGAGAGAGAGATCTAAATTGCTTTAACCCACTAGATGGCTCTAAAGATATCATACCATCCTGCTGATTTGTTTTTTAACACCAACAGCTGCAGCCACACTATATCAACAGAAATCTTGGAGATGCATGGCAATAGGGTGTAAATCCCGCGTTCGCCCTGTGAAAACTATGAGCACTGGCGATTGTTGGAAGAACTCTTCCTGTATATGCTCATAAACTTGGCCACAAATTCTGTAACAGTGCAAGGCAATGGAATTAGTAAACGTCTTTATAATTTGAATCAAACATGTTAATTAATCTATCTTCGAATGTCTTCCATTTTTTTTTTCAGATTGCGAGTGATTGTGCCCATAAAGTAATGATATACTTGAATAATTTTCTATATTACCTTCTAATTTTAATAAAGCACTTGTTCCTGTTGGGAGTCTCTTTTCCTGCAGATGAACCTTGAGTTACTCTCCTTCTCATCAAGAAAACATAAACAAGATAAGAGGCCGGAGAAGAAAAAAAAAAAAAACTTACATAATAAGCATGCCAATAATATAGTTCTCTCTTCAAACTGCCCTCAACTCCCTTGAGAAACTGTTCAACGAGCTTCTGCATGTTGGAAACATAACTACATTAAATAATAAAATTTTGGCAATTAACTATGCGAACCATTCTAATTAAACTATAATATGCATTACCTGGAGAATCAGTTTGGGTTGAACAAAATCCAGAAGAAGTTTTTGGATCTTTCCACGTATAAGAAATAATCTGATAAAAGCATACATGTGGAGTGTTAAATTTCATTTTCATAACAAACAAATCAGGAATGTCCATTAAGAAACATCACCATCATCATCCTTGCCTTTTTCCCAAATGAATGGGTTGGCCACATGAAAAATATATATTTATATTATATTGTATATTTGTGCAATGGTTTTTCATCATAGTTCATATATCCTGGTCATTTCCGACATCCTAAATTTCTAACAAGCACAAGCTCCTCAATAAGGCTTGATGCTGGGCCTTCCAGCTGTTACTTGTAATGCACAAAATACTCTGAAGGTCCAACTTACTACTTGGGTACCTACAAGTTCAGCTAGATCACCAAACATCTCCATTGTACGAAATTGGTTGTTTGCCAGATGAGGCATTCCTATAGTTATGTCACCTTCTTGATAGGGAGAAAACAAGGCAAGAGACCAAAATTAGTATTTGAGATTATCCTTCAGTTCACAAGTGAACTGCATTAGATCAACTTGTCATCTATTGCAGTGGAATGCCAACGAGTCTCAAGGTTCACAAGATAAGCAAAAGCTCGTTGAGAGGTTAATACTTCAATATTGTCATTTTCAGTTATCAAACACATTTTTTTTTTAGTAATTACATATATCTTACTTCTGGGGTCAGTAAGCAGAAACTGAAGCTTCAGTGTACCAAAAGTTACCTGTTATCGACAAAGGCAAGACTTTATATATATATATATATAGCTAAAGAAATACCTCTTAGGTAATGGATTAGCTAGGATGTCAGCAGCAAGTTCATCCACAACATCGTCCCATCCAAGTGGAATTGGTTGGTCTTCGACAAAAGGATAGCTATGAGGGCATTACACCCAAGTAAGTAGAGAAAAACTTATAAAATATACAAACACAATATATCTGTTGTTTAAGATCTCACTTGTGTGCTTTGCATGCTTCAAGAGCCATAATTGCTTTCCTTAGATTTTGCTTTGACTTGGAAGCAATCCTATCAGCAAAGCTCATGGATATGTCAAAGTTTTCCTTCCTTGCTATCTGAATAAGAACCTCCATGACCTGAGAAATATGGGGTAGGGGGTGGGGCCAGGGAGAAGAATTAGGAGATAAATTACTTACTAAAAAACAATAGAAGAGAATTTATAGAATTTAGAGTGCAGTAGGACACTGAGAAGACTCTTCAGTGGCAACAGTGAGTCTCAGTCCCTTATTCTATACCATTTGAACATCAAGAGGTTTCTTGACCATTATATATCTAGGAAGCGCGGACACTTCTCTTGGAGTGCCGTGGCAATATCGGACACTTCTCTTGGAGTGCCGTGGCAATATCGGACACTCGGACACGGCTAGAAGTGTCTTGGAATTTGAAGATTTTATTTTCTGGTTGGACACGGCTTAGACACGTTTTGAACACATTCATGACATGGCGGGATGGTTTTTTAATTATTAATTTTTTTTTAAGAAGCCAAATTAGTGATTTTATTCATGATTATATGGATAAAATAACCAAAAAGATTTATTTTATATACATATATTATTATTTTTTACGTATCCAAGCCATATCCATGTCCTACTTTTTTTTAGATTTGTTGTATTGATGTATCCATATCGTGTCGTACCCATGTCCAGTGTCCGTATCTTGCTTCCTAGATATATATCATTATAGTGACCGACTATAGTTGAGTTTCCATTTTGGATATTCCATATTTTTCTTTCAAGATTGGAATACAATCAATGATATTTATACCATATGTTATACGATGTCGTTACAGAAATACAGATTCCATACTGAGATAGAGGGATTGCTATTTAAAGTAGCAGAACATATATTATGAAATACCTACAACCCTTTTCTTTCTTTTAAAATGTTGTTTAAAGTGTGATACAGTTATTCCTTATTTTGGTTAAGTCGGGAACGCCAAATAGACTACCTGCATTTACTGTACCAATTGCAAGAATCTGGGGATCAGGGAGAACTCTTTTTAGACTGAATAAAAAGCTACCATCAAGCCTATTAAATCCTTATTGGATGATTAGAGAAAATAAGGTGTTGTAATGGATTCATAGAAAATAGTGTTTGCAGATTTGATATTTGGGACTTGTTACTTCTTTGAGATCTATTTTATAGAGTAAATCAAGTTATCAATCTCAACCATGTTCTTAACCATAGATGACATTGAAATCTGAAAGCATTAATTGATCATTCATATTATCACCAACTTAACAGATCCTTTCACTGGGATTGTGCTTTTAAAGTTGATAGCTATGCATAGATTTAAATGTGTGTGTTGAGTGCATGTGTGTATCTAGATGTCAGATTCATCCAAGTGTCCAATTTTACTTATTCACCTCTCGGGTGAAATGAAGAGTCGGTGTAACATTAATACCTAATTCATTTGAAACTACAGAGGAACTTATTAAAAGAGCAGCATCTAAGGAACGTCTATTGAATTGGGAACATATTCCTTCTTCCATTACAATCTTAATTGTTCCAAACAGATAACCTACTCTCACTTACTTTTGTGTCTAGCAAGAAAGTTTACTGAAAATTTTCAGTGTCTTTCTAGGTATTATTAGCATGATTCCAGTAAAAGCTTTGTTGAAGTCATGATAACATTCATCATACCAGTTTGTAACCTTAATTTACTGTAGCCACCACCATGATCATCTGACTACAGTCATTTGATGTGACTACTGTTGAATAACCATTTTCAGACTTATATATATAATAAATAATAAATAATAAATAAAAAACATTTTCAGATTTCAAAATAGACAGTGCTAAATATATTATCAACTAATCATTCTAGTTAACCCAATTAAATGGCCATCTCCTCGACTGGACAACAGATCACCAACAAATATAATTCTCTGAAAATAAAAATCTGTCCCTTTGATAGAATGGGTGGGGTTCAAGTCCCCATAAAGGACAAATGGGTGCTTGAGTTTCTTGCCAAGGAAAAAAATTATTATTGGCCCTAAGAAATTACTATTGTATGTGGTGGTTACGCTACTGTTCATACCAACTTTAGATAGCTTGGAATTCCAGATGCTTTAATTCCCTAGCTCCGTGGTCATGCAGTGTAAAGAAACAATAGCATAATGGTATAATTTAATGAATGTGACATAACCAATAAACAACTACACTACAAGATTAATGATTGACACACTTACTTCATGAGTTACGGGGGGATCAACGTTAATAACTTTGCAGCGGTTTTTCACCGGTTCAAGGATGTCTACATCATCTTCACAGCAGAGTATCAATTTACAAGAATCTTTGTAACAGTCCATGATCCATTTTATCAAGTGCTGAATGTTCTCTGCAGCTTTGTCAACCTCATAAAGAACCATTACTGTAATTAACAAGATGGAATCATGTAAAATTTGCATGATTGGATCTTCTTAGAGGAAATCTAACATTCTTAATAGAAATAAACCTTTGTAATCTGCCTTGAAATTAGCATTGCTGATTTCAGGGGTAACTGCATAGTTGCTGTTTATTTCTCTGACTAAACCCATTATTGCATATCTAGCATTAGGTTCCAAGTATACATTCAGCTCAACGTGGTGAGCACTAAAGGCTACTGGAACAGCTACTTGCATCGGTCTTGTTTCCTGTAAATAGAATGGACAGGGTAATAAAAGGCAAATTCATTTAAAATTCGGCATATTGCCCTTAAATTAAATTCATAATGACCTCCACTAGTTTTCTCTTTCACCAATACACAATACTGGAAAGCAATCGTCTCCTATCCTGTTACCAATCTTCAGACAAAAATGTTGCTCCACTTATATGAAAACCCAAAACTTGTTTAAAAACAAATTGGAAGCCAATCCATCACTAGAAACAATTAGCAAGTGATTTTTTGTTTCACCTGACTAGGTTAATAACGAAACTCTAGCAAGACTTATGTGAAGAACTAAATTGAAACATAAGAAAACATAAAATGGATCAGAGAAAGAAACAAATTATGCGGAAAAAATCAAATACAGTTTCTCAGAAAAGATTTCAGGCTTTTGTATTCTCTCTGGTAGTAGCTCCAATTGGAAGTTCCCAACCATAAAATCTTCTACAATCAGAATGAGTATTATCCTGGTAAAAAGAACATTGCAATCGTAGCATTATTTCTCCATGTCAGATACAATAGGACATAAGTGTGTTGGCCCAGAACTCATGTCGCAAATTGCTCTCTTGTCATCTCAGTCCTAAACAATTCTTATTAAGAGCCACTTCGCTGTTTTTGACATGGACACTAGTGCCACATTTTTAAGTTTATTAAGGTATGTGTCTGAATACGCATACATATTATCAAAACGATGCTGAATATTTCAGATTTTATTACTTGCGACCAAATATCAGAATTCTACCAAGGGCCTTGTAACCTAGTGGTATCTCCTTTACCTCCCAAAGTGGATGGTGAGGGTTCGAGTCCCCATAGGGGCAAATGGGTGCATGAGTTTCTTGCCAATGAATATATATATATATATCAGAATTCTGATTCTGGGGAGTTTACAGAGCAATATAAGTTGCTGATATGGTTTTTATTATGTGCAAAGTGAAGGTTGTACAGTAAGAAGAGGTAAGGGAAACTGAAGAAGGCAATAACATATATTGGCAGATACGGGAAGAGAAAAGTTGACCCCTACAGGGGCAGTGGAAAGGCAAACAAGATGTCCTTGTCAGAGAAAAATATAATATTTGATGGTCAACTACATTATGAAAAAAATGTCGAAGAGAGAAAAAAAAATGCTGAAAAGGGATTACTTAACTGACCCTATATAGTTGGGAAGATGCATGTTAAGTTCAGTACAACCTAAATCAAAATACTACAACCTTGTAAAATAATTGTTCACATCTATTTATTAATATTAATAGAAATCAATCTGGAGGTTTGACAAATTCAGCAGACATGTTCTTTTGATAAAATCATCTTGATCTTTCATTGATGGGGACATAAATATGCTGATAAATCTGTCAGAGTCCTTACCTGAATATGGAAGTATCTTAGGTCATGCGATATCTGCCAAAACAAATTACGGAAGTATGGTAAGGCATCCAAAAAGTTATTATTTCAAGGGAAGAATTCTTCAACATTATCGCATTAGATGACCAAGAAACATACATTACGAGCAGAAGTTCCAAAGATCTCACATAGAAAAGCCATTGACAGTGCTTTTTTACCAGAACCAGGAGGTCCCTTGAGGAGAATGTGTGGGCAGACTTCACTGGCCACCTAGAAGACAATGGATTTAAAAATCATATATAAACTATTTATACATAGGAAAAGAACTGCTTATAATGAATTGAGTGAGAAATCAAACTATAGCCATAGATCAATAATGTTAAAACTGCTTATGAACTTTTGTCTCCATCCAAACCCACAGACATGTAAAGCATAAAACTGCAATCATTAAGCTCAACGAATTTAACAGGATAATATTTGCAGAATGCAAAGAAAAATAAGAGCTCAATACTGAATTTAGTGAGAAATCATGGATGAGGTCACTCACAAGTTGCTTGAGTAGTTGAGCTTCTGGTTTGTGGCAGGTGAATCCATTCAATGAACCAGGTCGATACTTGTCAGCCCAGAATTGTCTCAAGTTTTCAACCACAAATGCCTTCTCAATAAATGAGGATTCATCGATATCTCTATTCTTTTCAGGGGATTTTGAGGTCCTGCAAGAACCCTTCCTGATGCAAGAAAACCATGCTTCTTTTTGGCTCTTCTGTCTGTTGACTGTGAATTTTCTCGAGCTTCCAGTCGTCCTGTCACTAGCGTCACTCATCTTACTACCAATACTCTGCCTGCTTACAGCAAAGCTGGAGGCTGTAGTTGTTTGTGTTAGAATAGTGCTAGAAGAAATCCCTTGGGCATTATGATCAAAACTGCCACTTGCTTTGCTTCCTTGAGGCGGAGCAGAATCTCTTTCGGTGAACATTTTAGGCTTTGAGCTAAATCTGTTTTCTCCACCTCCATCTTTTGGAAAGATAATCTTCTGCATGGTCAAGGGTGCATAGGTTCGAGAAAAGAAAATATCACCTGGTGAAATGGAGTCTGTGCTTTCAAAAGTTGGAGGATCAGTGACTGGAAATCTAGCAACCTTTGCGTTAGCAACCATTTCGTTGATTTCACCGACTGAAGGAGCATTTGTATGAGAAGTTTCCCTCTCTTTCAGAGACACACCCCTAGCCAATGGGGAGGGTGCCCTATCCCCTTTTTTCATCTGCTGGTCCTTTTCCCTTGCTTTCGGTCTAGAAGCCGATAATGATCTATGGCTATAGTTCAATTTCTCACTCACTTTACTAATCTCATTAGGCTGGGAATGACCTTCCTTTTCCTCAGTACCAAGAGGTTTATTAGGTTGTCTGTGGTTTTGCTTTCTATTCGAACCCAAAATCTCTTTGTCATCCAAAACATGATTCTCTCTCACTGGTTTATGTGGAGACACATGTGGTCTCCGACGCTCAGATTTTGAAAAGGGACTGATATTTTTACGATCAGACCCTGGTTTGGACGAAAAGGGACTAACATTTCTAATGGGTATAGGTGAATGGACATTACCATCATCTCTAGTTGGCTTGTATGGGGACTTACTGTGGCTCCTTCGAGCCAGGCGGGTCGCTGCAGCCTCAGTAGGAGAACGAACTTCACGTTCAAACTTGGCAGGCCTCCAGCTGGGTTTCAAAGGACTGACATTTCTGTCTCCATCCAAAGCCATATTTGTGGACTTCAAAGGGCTGACATTTCTGTCTCCATCCAAAGACATCTTCAGCCCTTCAAAACCCAAATCTCCATTCCTTTTATTCGGGTTGTGCCATGGAGTTTCGATCTCATTCCATTCAGTCTCCGTATCAGATGGTTCATACCCACTCCGCCTCTGCTTCAAGGCCGACAACAAGGATTGAGGCCGAGATGTTCTGCTATTTCTCAATGAATTCTCCATCTCTCCCAACAATGATCAATCTTCGGAAAAAGTATAAATCGAATCAAAATTCGAATATCAGCACATAGTCTGACTCTAAATTGAATCAAACACTTGGTGGGCAGTTTGAAGACATGGGTAAGAAGGTATTCGATGTTCTGTATAGTTGTGCCTCGAAGTGCATGAATGTTGATGATGACGAGAACAAGGGCATATAGGGTGACAAACATTCTTAAATTTAAAGAATTGATGTTTACAAAGTAGAGACATTGGTGAAGACGATGTCGATGCCGTTTGTCCAGAAGATATGAGCTTTTCAACAGCGAATGTCCAACAATGAAGACACGTCTGTCCTGTAACTTCCAAGTTCACCATCGACAACATCTCTCTCTGTATATTCATGTATGTGTGGCTGTGTGTGTATTATATATATATATATTGTTTGTTGCTGTGAATAAGGTACTAAGTGGCATTCCAATATTGGATAATTTTGGATCTCTGGAGCCGAATATGTTCCTCGTACTCCATCAAAGAAATTTACTTGTCTTATTGTTGACAATTAACTTTGTGACGGACAAATGGATTTATATTTTTCCTTCAATGCAGACGGTTCTCGGTAGCAGCAAGGCTCTCTTATATCAGGGCATGTTTTGGATATATGTACCTTACTACACCAACAGTATGTGGACCCCACATGATTAATTTTGAGTCGGAATCCTTTGAAGTACAGGTATTATGTATGTCTGCAGCATCAGACAATTTACATCATTTACTGATTACAAGTGTCAGTCATGTGAATCGTCCTATGCATTACAGAACTTATTGTGCTCTATTGCACCTGATTCACTCATTTAATACTAACATGGCAAAGCAAGGGTTATGTTGTAAAAATGAGAGCTAAGATCATTTGTGGTACTATATTGTTTTGGATGGCTCATATCACTTCACTGGGTAGCATATGAAATGATTTACACCAACAAATTGAATCTCACATACTCCAAGTTAATGACGTATGTCTTTAACAATGTGAAAGTATTATTCTTTCTATAAAAACAATGTGTTTGGAGGTGTGAAGAAAAGGGGATGTGATTATAAAAGACTGAAATCGGATCTTTTGCTAATTGCAGAAATTAGTTTGGGCGAAAAGTATGAGATCAGAGGACGTTTGAAACAAGGCAATTTCAGCTGGCAGAATTCAATTCACCAAAGGGTCTTAACTACCCAAGTCAGCTGAGCAACTGAAGTCACTTCCAACCTTGCTTTAATGTAACCCAAATTTCATATGATTGGATCTCCATGAATGAATATGAGATCAAATTTCTTGGTGTTGTAGTTCTTGGGATTCAATCATTCAACCAGACGAATGAATATAAGCTCAAGTTCTTGCAGTTATGTTGATACAAGTCAACCAATGACAGCAATGAGCATTTTAGTTACCCTAATTTGGATCTTGAGCTGATGACTACATTATAGCACAATGCATGATATCAGAAATACAAATTCAATTTTGCATTAGAGATTTAAATTTTCCTTCTCGGTTCTACACGCACCACAAGTTTCGAAACCTCAATCAAAGGTGAAAACAAATGCTTCACATTCAAAAAGATGATTATTGTTCCTCATACAACGTGGGATGATGAAACTTCCTCCTAGTCATCATCAGCCAAATAATTTTCTTGTCATGACCGAACTTCTTATCTATGAGTATACAATTTGTTAAAAGTAAAACCTTAACGCAGAGGTGAGCAGTGTGCGCGTAGAACTGGGGTGTGTTCACTGTGCTTGAAGAGAGAATTTAGATGTGAAAGTCGACAACCAGTCCACTAAAGCATTATTGACAAGCTCTGGGACTTCATCATGTGGACAATGCCCGGCCTGTAGGTTAACAACGGTCGTGTTTGGGTAGAACTCTTTGATTCGAATAGCCTTGGCAGGACCCACCCAAGGATCTAAGTCGCCCCAAAGCAACAACAGTGGGCAAGATAATTTGCTTAAGAGGCTATCTAATGTGTACTTGGTCTGATTCGACATAAACCGCGACATTAGTCTGCAGATAAACAGGAAGAACATCAAAAATCATGAACAGAGAAATGGAAAAGCATTGAAGGAGCACGTTGCCCATACCATGTTTAAGGGGCTGACTAGAAAACACAAAAAGGGGCAAATCAAGTTTATAGTCAGTCCCGGCAAGCAAGTTTTTTTTTTTTTGATAAGTAAAATTTTATAAAGAAAGCGCTCGGAAGGGGAGCAAAACCCAAAGACAAACAAAAGGCCAAGAAGCGCCTCAAGCCTTCAAAGAGGCCAAAAAAAACAACAATCTCCTCTATAGATCTATAACAAGTATAACGGGACCAACAATAGGTTTTGAAAACTAGCCGAAATACCAAAGATTCTATGCTGTTTTAAACTAGTGTACACAATGCTGATGCCAACCACTAACTTTCAGATTGAGTTCATTGTTAGTTGTATCAATCTAGCTCAACCAATCAGCGACTTCCTAAAACAACTCCCAATGATCAATAACCATTCAAAGGATTGATATTGTAAATAATGATACCATCAGGAGGATGGATATGCTTCAAACTAAATCATCACATCCATAGCATTCTCCTCCTAACTGTGAAGTTTCTAGAGAAAAATTAAATTTTCATTTAAAATCCAAATGGATGAAATCGCTTGGTCTCTTACACCCATACCTGTAATAAACTTCTCCTGCATTCGGATCAGCAGCTGGTCTTGTTATTGATTCCACAAGATAGTCGTCCACATTGGCGTTATTAACATAAACCTGCAACAAAGAAAAGCATGCTCTTGTCTCATGTACAAAGACATGGAGATTAACATTGAAAAATGCAATAAAATGTTAAATTCACAATAGGATGGTGTATGATGGGAAGAGTCCAACTCCCTCCCTGTAGCATCGCATGTTTCACATGGAGGGTTAATGATTCACCACTCGAAGAGCTTTGCTGCGGTTAATTCCCAGAAGGAAAATGGTTCCTCAACAAAAAAGCTATCCTATTTATCATTCACAAAGAATGATGAGATCATAGAGAACCAATATAAGGATGAAAGAACCTCAATCAATCATCCAAATAGAAACACTGCCAAGATGCTTCTACAGAGTGCAGTATCAGCATCTAAGTTTGACGTGTAGGATTCTTGAAGCAAGGATAGTCACCTTAACCCAATTTATAGTGTGCATGTACATCTGGTGAAGATCCACAAAGAATCCTTCTTCCCAGCAGAGAGGATGACCACAAATCTTTAGTAGTGTTTACAGAAACTATTTGCAAGTCCTTTTTTTTTTTTTTTTGGGTTAGGTAAGTACTCGCGCGCTCACTTCACAAATTGCCCACTACAGGGCTAGAACGCCTCACCTCCCCTTTGAGGGAGGAGAGGTTAATACCATTGGGCTAACAGCACATTGGTTTTGCACTCATATTCTTACTAAGCTTTCAAAAAAGAAGAAGAAGAATCAAATTTGATTAGGAAGTACCCCCATGTAGATGAGTAGACATCTCTGGTCATTTTGTGTTCAGCTCTCGAGGGCATCGAACCTCCACCCCCGACTTACCCGATACTCATGGTCTGGGATGATTACAGGAATCCAAAAGAGGGTTTATTTGGGGGAAAAATAAATAAATAAATAAAATTGAATTAGGAAGGAATTGACATACACTCTTCAAGACAGATTCAATACGAGATGGTTGCTTTGCTTGCCAGAACAAAAATCCAAGAACTACCCGCTGAAAAATTTCCTTCAATGGCTTCAGGATAAACTTCTGTAAGACTGTTTCTTCAGATTCATTGGTTTCAGCGTTTGCATTTTGAAACTGTCCTGCAGAGTTTAGTAGTGCTACTCCTACAACTTGCTCAGGCAGCCCTGCTGCACCCGCCAAAGCAGTAAATCCTCCAAGGCTGAAAATTATCATTGGTAACATGGTCATCAATTTCAAATCATTATAATATAGAATTTCACAAAAATAACTCTCAGGACACACAGATAATTAGCAACATGAAAATGGAGATATTCAGAAAGGAGTCAAAATCTTAAACACCCTATAGCACGCAATTGGAAATCTTATTTTGAAGTGAAATAGAAAATAAAACGGCGACTTTGATGTGCAAGTAAAATTGTCATATATGTACATGATATGGAGAATGTAGAAAAGGTGAAAGAAAGCTAAGGTTTAGTCTCAGGCATAAGCATCAATGGCCAATGATTTTGTCAGGAAAGGCTGGTAATCAGACTGATGCTGCTGCAAATAAAAGGGAAGACCAGATGGACAGAAAATGAGGTGGTGAAATAGATGTGTCAGCCAATGGCTAAAATTTTAAAAAACCATGGACCTAGACAGGTGCAGCAGTGAATAGGGTATCCATAGCTGAACAAGATCCCTTGGGTAAGGCTTTATTGACTTGAATATGAGTATGGTTCAGGTGCTTGCTTATTTGACAACCACCACATAATCACAGGCCAAACCGGCTTCAAAATATTTTAACTGCTTCCTTCAGCAATATCTTTGATCAGCAAATGATAAGCTGATAGTGAGAGCAATCAATCCTGGAGGTTCCTAGTGCAAGATACTATAAATTCACCCCACTAGTGGTTTCGATTATCCCCTACAGAATAATATTAGTTGCACATAAATTCCATTCATATACTTCTCAGCAGTAGCCCGGCAATGTAGTTATTGAAACTCTAGGAGAATGTTAGGGGCTGGAAAGGATTAGTCGCTTTAAAACCCTAGCTTTTCAGGCTGAGATATTTAGCATGAAAGAATCGCCGAAAGAATGTGCTTTAAGACCTAAGATCATTTGAATATTCTAATAGAACCAGGGCAAAAATATTGGCATTGTGTCTTTTAGGAAGAGGACCTGGGTCCATGTGAATGGATAGAGATACACCACTCACTTGAAAAAATAACATTATTAATATAAAATAATTGAATGGAACATAAACTTTCAAATGAGACAGAAACTAGCTGGCATTATTTATAGCCCAGCAAAGAGAATTTGATCATAATTGAAGCAATAACATACTTTAATCATGGACCAAAAAAGAAGAAGAAGAAGAAGTACTCATTCTAGCCATTTTATTTAACAACTTATTCTTCCCCATTCTTTTATGGACAAGAAACACTATATGACCTATTCTTCAAAATAATCTTCTTTCAATTTAAGAGACCCATATTGCTAGTGGTCGTAATAGTGTTTCTATAGGCATGTAAGCTATAAATCTCGAGTAGTCCAGAAGAGGGACTTTTAAGATTAAGATTGTAAGAAGGGGTGTGCAACTAATGTAGCCATCCCTCAGGCGAATAATATCACACTTACTTCAAAGTTCAAACAAGGTGCATGTCTCGGGATAATGGAATAAAAATGGGGTAGTTGGTGGAAACTGAATTTGGTTACTTTTTAGTTTCAGTTATGGCTTCAATAACCCAAACAAAACCCATAGAAATTGTCATTACATAAATTTAATTTTAATTACATTGTCACCTTTAATTACAAATATATAATATTCGTTAACATAAAAACATTGGCTCAGAGTTCTTTGATGTCCCAATTCTAACAAGAATGCTATTATAATAATCGGCATCGATTTGATTAGATGGACAGAAATAGCATATATTCGTAACTATAGCTACTGAGAAATGCTGCTAAAGTTTATATTTTCCCTTCTTCATGGGGATTCAAACTATTTAGTATGAGAATACATCAAGATTGGAGTCTACTTAAAACATTAGTCATACTTAGACATGGAAACGTGGCAAGAATTGATAGCCAAACTGTGGAGTGTGGTCTATCGGCATATTCACACATTTGAAAACTTTATGCACAATTATCCTTACATACTTAATAGGTATATTTGCCAGAAAAAGGACGAAATTAAAAGTAAATGCTTAGTTGAATGACTCTAAGGGGGTCCTCAAATTTACTTCTTTAACCTCAAAGATAGATGTCTAAGTTGTTCTGGTGGCAATCTATGATTCTATGTTACATGGACTTGGGTATGTGAGTTGGGTGCGGGTATATATCCACGCGTTGGATGTTTCAAATCTCTAAACAAAAAGACACATGGACACTGCTAATAATTATTTTATTTAACAATTTTATTTTGTTTTATAGGTAAAATAATGTCTTTATGTAACATAGTGTGCAATATTGGAATTTCACTCATTTTGAAACAATAATATAATAAAATTGAATTACTGGACATGGTTTTTAGGTGCATGTCCAGCCAAAGTGTCGTATACATATTCCATACCCAAAGTCCGAGCAATATGCATTGGACACAGTACTTCACCTACTATTGAAAAGTCCATGTAACATAGGTGGCAATCACCCATGCAAATAAAATTTGGAAAGTCCAAGGAAAGATAAATCTTGATCACACAAGAAGGTAAAATCAATATGCATCTTTTACCTGTTTCCAACTAAAACTGCAGGTTTTTTCACTATCTCTTTCAAGAAATCCACGACCTGGTCTCTCCACACCAAGGCATCATACTCAATAATTGCTTTCTCACTCCAGCCAAACCCTAATAAGTCGATGGCATAAACCTTATAGTTTTTAGCCAATTCTGGTATGTTGTACCTAAACATAAATACGAGAAAAAACCTCATCATAAAATTTTCGAGCACAATGCTGTATCTTTCCAATGCGATTAAAGAAATTTTTTAACACCAACTTGAAATTTTCAGTGGAAGTATAAAATTTATGTGAATTCAGTCTAAAAAAAGGCATATTATACATGATACAGTCACAAATCCTCTAATCCCTCAAATTCTGCAGCAAAATTATAGCTGCCTAGATTGGAGGCAATGAATCATCTACTTATTTCCAGATGATTCAGAACAGTAAGTCATGGAAAATAAGTTTTCTTAACTTTTTAATCACTAATTTTACAAGAATAAATGCACTAACCGTCCACTGAAAGTTCTTGTTACATGTTAATTTATATGATGAAAACTGGATTTATGGATGAAAAGCAGCAAACCTCCAATGAAATGCAGAAGCACCAAAGCCATGAATGAGCACAATAGGAAAACCTTCTCCTTCTTCTACGTAATGTATTTTGTGACCTCGCCATGTCCAGAAATTGTAGCCCTCCGTCTTGAATGGTAATCTCTCCAAACCTAAAGAGTATAATTTAACCGATATCTACATATGTAAGCACATCAACTTCAGATATAATCTAAAAGCAAAATACAAGTAAAAAAATGAATACACTATCCAAAAATATTATGAGAGTTGAAAGAGAAAACTACAAAAACCGAATGCATTTGTATAATTCTAGGAAATTCAAAATGGCACAGAATTTCAGATCTCGATAAAACAGTTTTAAAAAGAAATAAATGATTTGTGGACATATATAAATATTTTGCAGATCTCAATGTGGGTAATAAGGGGTCATTGCACCAAGCAATTGTGAGAAGTTTGGGTATAAAATGTAAAAAAAGTGATTAGAGGATAAGAACAAACACCTTGTGCAGATTATGTTCGAATGTTAGGGCTGTTTCTTGTTTAATTCTCCCATACCCCGCGTTGAGTGAAGGAACATCCAGGTAATGTCCCGTTACATTACTAAATGCCTAATATATGCATGAGAAAAACCCTATAGAAATTAAAATTAAAATTATCAATTTATTGACTTGTGAACCGTACACATATTGGCAAAGGCACAGCAGTTATATACCATGTAGTGAACTGCTATGTAATTGAGCTGCATCCATATTTTCATTGCAGAATGTTTTCCATATCAATTAGTTCTCAAATAAAAGAATTAAAGAACCCTCAGTTTATGTCAGAATCTTTGTCTCTAATGAGAACAGTAGATGATAGAAATGACTCTCCATCCTAAGTCACATTTTATCATTCTACAACGGCCTAAAACCCCATCATATTGAATCCATTTGTACATCAATGCCTGCAGTATCAATTAAATCCTAAATAACCATAGAATCAACTTGTTTCATCATATTCTAATTTTTCTTAAAGTACACAAATAAATGCAGAACTCATGATTCTCCTCTAACAAAAACAAAAAAAAAAAATTATGTAACACCAATCTAATAAACTTAGCAAATTATATTCATAATTCCCCCATAACTACATTGGAACAAATTCTTTTAACAATTTAATGAGTATTTCCAGTGCTCTTTTGATTGCTTCCACAGCCATTTGAACCTTTTGAATGCCATTTTCAGTTGAAAGTGTTGAAGAAACCAAATACATTTCCAGACTAAGACTTCCTGATGCATCAACTTCGCACAATTTTTAAGCAAAAAATAAGCAAGAGTACATTGACAAACCTATTTCCATATCATGTAACACTATCTATAATGACTAAGGCGCTGTTTCATAAAATCGAAAATTAAGTCCTGAAAAATTTAAGAGCTGAATTTCAAGTGATTAAGTTTTTAGGTGGTAGTTAAAAATTGAGATATATATATATATATATAATAGTGTGTGTGTGTTTAAGTGTTGAACATTCATCAAGTGAATTACTGTCACCTAAAATTTTACTTCATTTTAAGTGGTGCTTAAGTCAAATTGGTTTATCTAGGTTATCAAACAACACTTAAGTGTGATATATGTGCCTGCGCCCCTATAAACACAAACACACACACACTATATATATATATAGATATAGATATAGAAATAGAGAGAGAGACTGGCCTTGAGTGGGTTCAGCAACCAAAGTCGAACCCATAACTGAAGCTCCAGCAGCGACAATTCCTCTCATAGCGAAACTCCTCCTATTTAATTCGCATTTGCTTCCTTCAAGCACAGATAGAGAGATGTTGAAGATTAGCATCATATCATCCAATAAATAGATAAATTAAGGAAAACATTAGAGTTCAAAACTTACTGTGATGATAAATTCTAGAAGGCACAGTAAATCTGTCGCCGATTGGGTTGAACACCCCTGTTCTGACTGTATGCGGTACAGTGAAACATGAAGAAGACGACATCGAATCACCAAATTAGCTAAAACCCTAGTCCAAGAAGCCCCAGATTGAGCTCGAGAAGAGAAATATAGGGATAAGAACAGACATTTATATGAGTAACAACGAAGAAGAGAAGATTTTTTAACGTTGCAATTTGAAGTTACGTTTATGTATTGTGTGGTCGGCATGTCGTTTGAAGTAGTGGCGGACTTGAGGCCAAGTCGTTTGTTTCCCGGGAAAATTATGTACATGAGTCTTAAAAAAAAAAAAAAAACACACACACACACACGATTCCAAAATATAAGTAATATAATTAAATATATTTAAGAGTATTAGGCAAATATTCCTTAATTTTATTGCTAGAAATCTAAATAATTATTAGTAATATATATATTTAAGCTGGAGTAGTTTGGACTCATCTCCTTAAACTTTTACATTTCACCATTAACCTCATTCCAGTTTGGTAAGAAATAAATCATAAAAGTAAGTAAATTTCTAATCTTAGTTCGTTATTGCTTTTTCCTTTAGAAAGTCTCTACTTAACTGAATTTTTTTTTTTTTAATACAAAAATTGTTCTTGGTCTATTGGAGTCAATAGAAGGTAGATACTGTCTAACACTCCAACAAAATAAAAATATTGTGAATTTTGTGGGGGGGGAGAGAATGGGTGTGAGACAATCACTTTACTAACATTGTCCTTTGAATACACATAAAGGTACTTTTTAATATTTTTTAAATATTTAAATGTACGAAATGTAAACAATTTTTTTTTTTTTTCAAAATATGAAAGGTAAACAGTGAATAGTGTATGAAGTTGGTATTTTTTTTTTTTCGGTAATTTGCATGCTCAAACAATAGAAAAGTATTGTTGGGTAAGTTTGTCTTCTTGTAAATTGGAGGTAATTTTATTTTTATCAGGGTTGAATAACAAAAAGGTATTATTGGCTAGTCATGGAATCCATGCTATTCTGTACCAGCTTGCCGTCGACTGTCAGCGACAAATTCTTGGATGGCATTGAAAATGTCATGGTGTGCCACATTAATGGCAGTTTGGTTCCTCTTCTCAAGAATGCTGGTGTTGTCTGGCTCCGAGTCCTCATTCGCCGGAATATCTGACCCACTCCGCCAGAATATTTTTGACATTGCAGTGGTTTGTGTCTTTGTGGATTGGATGATAGTATTGTCTTTGCCCATTCTTTTATTTAAATGACATGAAAACGTTGATAGCTTGAAAGCAATTTGCTTCCTTATTGCATGCTAATTTCTTTTTGGAAATGAAAAATATACTCGTTACTACTCTTTAGTTTGCTCCCATGTCTCAACAATGTTTCACTCAAATTATTATAAAATTTTAATATTTTCATTTTCTTACATCATAAAAATTTGAGCATTTTCAATTTCTTTTTTCATGGAAAAAAAGTAATGGATACATATATAATGGTGATGTTCATCTTAAAAATGCATTATTTGAATATGCAAAAGTATGACAATCGAGGTCACGCAAAAGACATTTGGGATTGATTGCACAAAAGTCAAATTTTATTTTATTTTTTGCTTCTTTTAAAATTCATGCAAAAATGTCTTGATTGTTGTATTTTGGAGACTTATTTCTACGAAAAATAACAAAAATGACATTAAAAGTAGGGATGCCAACGGGGCGGGTTTGGAGCGGGTTTCCCTAAATCCCACCCCGCCCCTTTTAATTTTTGTCAAGTCCATGCCCGCCCCGAGACCCGCGACGGGTTAAATTTTCATATCCAACCCCGCCCCGTTAGGAAATACTGTGCCCCCGTGCCCGCCCCACTAACAAATTTTTTTCTCCCACTTTTTGGAACTTAAACTCCTGCTATTTAAATGTGCAAAGCCTAGAAATGACACAACATAAATAAAATTATGTATTCTAACAAAAATAAAAAAAATAACATGCACATAACATAATTCAAAGAATATAATAAACAAAAATAAAAATTTAATACAACCAAATCACAAGAAGTTCTAAGCTCCAACTTCCACCATAACCAAAACAAAAGCAAATTTAATACCAAATTTACATCCCAAATTAGGATTGTAAGAGATGGGTTGGGTAAGCCGCTAAAATAACTTATTAATATATATATATATATATATATATATATATATATATAGTTATATGCGGGGCGGGGCGGGGCCCCTAGGATATGTATATTGAACCCTTACCCGCCCCGTGACCCTCGACGGGTACAAAATTTGTATCCATGTCCGCCCCAACGGTATAATAAGTGTTCCCATATCCGTTATTAACGGGGCGGAACGAGGCAGGGCCCCGGCGGGGCGGTAAAAATTGACATCCCTAATTAAAAGGCTGCAAATACAAACAAATCATATGAAAAATGAAAAAGGTTGATGGGTTTTTAGGAATGGCTTTTGTGATTTTGTATAAAATGTTGTCTACTTTATATTCAAATCCAATAATTAAGAGTTGTAATTTGCCATCAAGATGCCAACAATGAAACAAATGACTTGTGAAAAGAGACTTTGCTACCTTCATACAAAATGTTATTTATTTTAGGGTTAATTATAACGACACCCCCTGAGGTTTGACATATTGACAACCATATACAATTTAGCTCTTTTTTGGACAAAGACACCCCCTGTGATAATTTTGATCCAAACAAGCCCATAAAATGTTTGAAAAGACGAAATTGCCCTTTAATATTTAATTCATTTTATGGTAAAATATCAAAACTCATGAAAAGTCAAATTTGCCCTTATATATATACATTATATACATTATTGCCCTTATATATATACATTATATACATTATTGCCCTTATATATAGATATGTATATGTATATGTATATGCATATGTATATGGAAGAGCAGTGGGGAAGATAGAGCACCAGCCGCCACCACCCTCATCGATGCCGCCACACCCAATTCCCTAACCTCCTCCCGCCACCTAATTGAAGACAACCCAAGAAAAAACCCACCCCTTCGATTTCACCCCACCACCACTCACCACTACTTAGGTTTCCAATCAAACCCCAATTGATTAGTGGCCATCTGAGACTCTTGGTCCGCCGCCGGCGACAATAGACCCTTCTGTCCTTCCTCTCAACGACCACAAAAGCTTTCACATCTCCAATCAAAATCAACCGAATCACCACTCACCACCATCGACACCGCTATTGTCATCAATTTCGCCGCCGTGGATCGTCAATGGAGATGATCCATCTTGGCCACTGGCAAGGTAGATGAAGGCATGTGAATCCGTTTGTCCAACGGATTTCTTGAGACAATAAAATGTTTTCAACAACAAGTGGAAGCTTCGACTTGCACCATCTCTCGTCAACCACGGTGCCGTCACCGCCATCATCTCTCTGCACCCACTGCCATAACCACAGCCACCACCACCGTCCACAACTAGGGCTACAAACCAACCACAAATTTTTCTTCTTCCCTTTCTTGCACACACACACAAACATATATACGTATACATAGAGAATTGAAATTGCTTCTTCCCTTTCTTGCGCGCATACACACATAGATACATATATACACAAACAAATTGTGTTTCTTCCCTCTCTTGCACACACACATACATAGATACATATACACAGACACACACATATAAAGAAACCCACCCGAAATTGCACAGAAATTGGGGATTTGTAATTTCTCCATCAAAACGAAGACAAATAATTGAAATCGCCACCACTGCAACCACATATCTAAGCGCAAACGAGCCGCCACCGCTGAGGACGATGACGACGACTCAACCTTCCTCGACCTTTCCCTCATCAAAGTTATTGACAAATCCCAAAATGGCATCGTAGGGCTGTGATATCTCTCTTTCCATTTTGTATTTTGTGATATTTGGTAGGTCTATTTCGAGCACCATGGTGGTGGGTCTGGTGGCGACTATGGTATGGCTGTGAAATGGGTGGTGGCGGGTGTGAACTGGTCGTGGTGGCTGTTGGTTAAGTTACTAAGGTATTTTGGTCAATTAAAAAGAATTGTATTGGATAAATTGGTAATTGCATATGTCAAAGGACAATAATGTCAATTTACCATGTGTAATGACCATTGGGGTGTTTTTGTTAATTTTATTAAACTTAAGGGAATGTCTTTGTTCAAAAAATGACTAACTTATATATGGTTGTCATTATAGCAAACTTCATGGGGTGTCATTGTAATTAATCCTTTATTTTATATTGCTAACACTATTATATTATTTTTCTTTCCTTTCCGTTAATTATTATTATCTTTTCTTTCATACTTTATCAAACATAATCATGAAATGAAAAAGCGAGGAAATGAATCACCAAATCAAGGAAAAAGATAACTCTTGAAAATGAAGCAATAACGTGTTCATTTGAGAACCTCCTAACCTAATATTATAAAGTCATGAATGTGATAAAAAGAAATTGGTATTAGGTTGACCTAATATTAAAAATGAATTGGTATTAAATTGATCATCTGTCGCATTAGTGAAATTAGTTGGGAAGTGTCACATAGCCCATAAAGTAAATGAAATGAATAATTTGGCATTCACAACAGCGAGACTGTGACTGTGAGTGGGCCATAGTTACCATCTTCATCTTCCTCTTCCTCTTCCTCATCGACGAATCTTCCGCCATGGAAGCTTCTGTCAGACTCTTCAATCCCTCCACCCTCACTCGCAATCTCTCGTCTCCAATCCTTCTCAGAAGACACCCTTTGAATCTCACTCTTCGCCACACTTTGATCTGTCCGTACAGTCGTCAAACCACTCTCCGACTAAACCCTATTTGTTCCAAACCCATTCAATCTTCGTTCCCACGTTCATCAATCTCCATTAACTCAAACCGGTTTGGGTTTTTCCAGTCTCTCTCTGTATCACAGAAGTCTGATTTTGCCGTCTCAATCGACGATTCAAACCCGGTCGTACCCAATTCGGAGGACAAATTGTTTGATTCGAATTCAGATCTGAAGAGCGTGAATGGTGAGAAATTAGGGTTTTTTGGGGACAAAGGGCCTGCTGTGACGGTGGTGTTGCTGGGTTGGCTCGGAGCGGAGCCGAAACACTTGAAGAGGTACGCCGAACTGTACAATTCGAGGGGCATTAACACTACAATATTTGTTGTCTCGGTGAAGGAGACGCTCTCGTTCGATTTGGGGAGGAGATTGGAGGAAAGGGTTTCGGTGTTTTCGCAAGAGCTTGCTTCGTGGTTGTCGGAATCGGAGAAGGATGACCGAGAACGGTCCTTGCTCTTCCACACCTTCAGCAACACCGGTTGGATTGCGTAGGTTGATCAATTGGGCTCTTCATTTGAACTTTTGCATCTCTTAGTTTAAAGCTCTTCATGAACTGAATCATTCAATTTGTTCTATTGGTCAACAAAAATTTATTGATCTGTTGCAACCATTTAGCTTGGGATTTGTTGGATAGAAGCAATCAAACATTAGAGAAAAATAAGTTACAGATATAGTGCACACCATTTTACTCATGTATTTATATGTGCATGCCTTTACAATAATGTTTTATAAAAAAATCTTCTTTTGGGTAGTATTTTTAGATGAAAAATTCCTGTTTATTCAGTATATCGTTCAGTTTCATAGTTCTAATTGCTTAGTTTAGATGGTAAGATATGGTGTGGCTGTGTTGAGTTTCTTTACTTGAACATGAGGTTTGTGATCTTGCTTTTGCCTTGGTTGAAATGTTCTGTTTTTTGGTTAAATTTGCAGCTATGGAGCCATTATTGACAATTTGCAAGGCAGAGAAGACCTACTGATGAAGATCAAGGGATGTGTTGTTGATTCTGGAGGGGACCCCGATTTAAATCCTCAGGTTTGGAAATCATGTTTAATTCTTCTGAAATTCAAAGATTGTTTGTTTGTTTGTTTTTCCTAGTTATATCTGAATTCAGCAACTATATTCATAGTCTATTTATATAGAGAACCAAATTCATTTGCTTTAGCTAGTGCGGTAAAATTCATTTTTATTTGTTACGTTCTGAAATTTTTATTTTACGTAGATGGTCTAACAATGTTGATTGATTATATGCTTATAAGTGGAGCTATAGCTTTGATTGATTTATACACTACTATATGGACCTATTGCTTCATTTGTTTCTTGGGAAAATGGGAAGAGCAAAGTGATATGTCAGGTACTTTTTAAAAACCATTTTTTTGTATTTTTCTCTCCATTCCTCCCTTTCCAAGAACTAGACCAGGAAATGCTCTTGTTTTCTTTCTAGTTTGGAAATATGGACCTATAATATGTTGCTGAGCTTTAAGTTGTGTGTTTTAGCAAACGAATTATGAAGCATCAACTATTATGACATTATTTATAAAATTTGGTTTTGACAGATTGTAATGTATGCAGTGCAGTGTTTTTTGGTATAATTAAGTATGGCTCCTGCACAGTGGGAAATTTATGAACTTGCACAATCCAGAGAAGAGAAAAATATTCTTTCTTAAGAAAATCAATACTCATTTGTTAGCTCTTCACCATCTTTTGAAATTCCTGTGTTTTCTCACATTGTGTATCAGATTTTAAAGATCTCTTTAGTCTCTAACCCATCGCCACTTTGTGTATCAGGTTTGTAAGATCTCTTTAATCTCTAACCTGTCGCCATCCTCTAATAACAAATAAATAAATAACCTATATAGTAGGGTTTGTATTATGTGGTATTTATCAATTTAATGCTTCTATTAGAACCATGTTACTTGATTTGATGAAAGGGCTGGTTTTTTGCTTGTTCAGTTGACTGTTGCAGAAAATTTTGTTTGAAATCTTGTGCATGTGCTGAATATTTGATGTAATCAGTAAATTCGTATTATCATAATACTATTATCAACAATGCATTTTTAGTGAATTTTTTTGTAACTTAAGCAAATATTCTATGCCATTTACTCCTTACAAGGATCATATCTTTTTACATTTTGTATGTTCTCCTTGTCCACTAACTCTAGATCCCTTTGTATGTTCTCCTCCCTTTCTAAAGGCTTTAAATAGCAAATATATCCTCACAGGTGCAGTGAAAATTTTATATATACCTGACCCGTCCTAATTGGAGCTTTGCTTATTTCACCATTCATATTTACTTGCACGGTTTCTTGAGAGCGATCGTTTCTACTTATAATCTTCATGATTATGACCGGACAATTGCTAAACTATATTCATCAACATGTTTGATTTTAGATCAGCAAACATTTTGATACAAAAATTAGATGATATAGCATGTGGTTTAACTGATGTTATGGCTTTAGAAGACTGGAGTGGCAAAAGATGATTAATGTACTTGATCCAAATAGTTGGGAAAATGTTCTATTGAGTTGAGTCAAGTATTTATTGAAATTTCCTATTATCCCCATTGGGATTTGTTGGTTTACTTGTGTTATTATGACGACAGACTTTTAAGTTTTGCTTGCACTCTCCATTTATAATTTATACTGTTGGCTTTCCAATTTTGACCACGTAAAATAAGGAGGGATACAAATTGATAAATTATCCGTCAACTTTTGGTAGGTCTGGGCAGCTGGATTTACTGCTGCCTTGCTGAAAAAACGCAGCTCCTTAGCAAACCCTTCAACTGAGACAGGAGAAGGAATAGAAGGTGGAGTGAGTTTATCAAAGATCCAACAAAAGGAACCTCCATTAACTGAAACCTTGCTTCTGCTGGTACTTGAGAAAGTCTTCTCTATTTTACTGAATTTGCCTTATGTGAATCAGTAAGTATCCTGTGTAACTACTAAACCTTTACTGCTTTCTAATAATCCAATTTTTTTTTTTTCCGGTAAATAATAATCCAATTTACTGATAACCAAGTACAGATTTCTGAGCCCTAATTAGAACAATTAGCTGTTTTCAAATATTATCAAGACATGTTAATGCTAACGAAAACAAATAACAATAGCTGTTATTTCTTGTTTGTTTCGCAGGAGGTTGGGGAAGGTTATCTCTACCCTCTGCAAGAACCAGCCTCCTTGTCCTCAGCTTTACCTCTATAGTACAGCTGATATGGTCATTCCATCTCATTCAATAGAGTTGTTTATTGAGGACCAAAGGAAGATGGGAAGAAAAGTAGTGTCTTTCAACTTCGGCTCGTCGCCTCACGTAGACCATTACAGGACTTTCACTACCATTTATACATCAGAGCTTCAAAATTTTCTGAAGATGTGCTTGTCCGTGTTGAAGCAAAGGTAAACTCTGCAGATTCAGATTATTTTTATAGAATTGTATTATTATTATTTTTTATCTCCTGAATTGCCAGTCGGCAAAAATGGAACTCATCGGTGCAAACTAATTTGAACTTAATTTGTTACCGAGTTGTTATTGTAATACTGTTTATTGAGTTTCAATATTTAATTCTTCGTCAATGTTAAAAATTTCAAGATAGAAGACCTGAATAGAGGGTATATTAAATTTTGCATAGAATTATTTCATCCAAGAAACTCCCAAAACAAAATCTTCTAAATAGATAGCCAAACTTTTACGTCCGAATGTTTCCTCATCATATATAGAATTGCTGAATTTATAATGAGGGATGCCGGACATCCTAAAAATATTTTCATGTTGCACACCATAAAAGAATTATTGTGGGTTTTTTTTTTTTAATTTTTTTTTTAAAAAAAACCTTATTATATTACATGAATTTGTGGATTGAAAGAACCCTAGATAAAAGTTTTTTCAGACATCATTTGATCTCATAATGTTTGGCTTTTTTATTAATAGTAAATATTTGATTTAATCATTAAATCATCATAAATTAAGGTACCACAAAAGAACTAAATCTAGATGAGTCCCTTTTTTTCCCCTTTATTATTTTTATTTTACATTATACGAGTGTGGAGTACCATAAAAAAAACTCAAAAGTTAAAGCTCGGGTGTAGGAACTCCCAGCACATCACTGCGAGATCTGAAAAGGAATAGATGTATACAACCTTAATTCTCTGGATGTGATGGGCTGTTTTTTTTTTTATTTCAAATTAATGATCTTAGGTCACAATGAAATAACAGTTTTAACTCAGGTATGTGAAAGGTTATTTTTCATTTCGAATTACCTTAGATCATAGTGAAATGATTTATTAACAGCTTTAACCCCAAGGGTTGGCTCAAGTGTAAGTCAAGCCCTAGGGCTTCATGAACTATTCTGGTCTAGGGTGCATATAATTTCTTGAAGAAGGGTGGTGAGTATAAAATTTTTTTTTTTTTTTTTAAGGCACACCTCATTAACATCTCTCTCCTTACTCCCCTGTCCCTCTCTCGTCGGGACCATCGTGTCACTCATTATCAATCTGTGTTTAGGCTCTGTATGTTTTTTTATTTTTTTGTGTTTGGTTGTATAAAGAAAAAAAAAATTAAAATCTAACAAAAGTAACGTAACTCGACTTCAATCTCGGTCAACACCTTTACCAAATACCAAAAAATAAAAATATATATATTTTACCCTGGAGCCTTAATGCAACAACTTTACATCGCTCGATGATTAGTATTATGGTGCCTTGCCCAAAATGATTAGTATTATTGCAGCTTAAGTATAACAAATGTCTCAGAACAATTATAATGTATTTTTGCGATCGCCGGACTTTATCCGCCGCGAAATACCCTGACTTTATTTTCTACCATATGTTCTGCTGGCGTGTGTAACCTATATATATAATATATATATATATATATATATACAATTTGGCTACTCCTATCCTTTAGTTCACTTCTCTTTTCGCGCCCCGCCATCGAAAGCCAATAAAAGTTCCCAAGTAGAGGTGATAATTCAGTGTTTTATTCTCAAATGAGACAAAGTAAAATAAATTAAAGGAAAATATGTAATCCATAAGTCTGTTTTTTCAGTTTTATCTCTACTTCATCAATTTTATAAATTAATTATAAAAATTAATAGCTAACTTGGATTATTGAATATTCAAATTTTTTCTATGTACACAGCATACACAAACACTCATAATACACTCTCGGATGAGTTTCTGTTTTGCTTGCTCAAACAAGGTTGCTTGACAAAGATTTCGAAGAACGCGTTCCTCTTGGCGACTGAGACTGGCTTGACGCACCTCTCTGCTTCCTAATTAGTTGCCTCTAATATAGATGTTTCAACAAATTAACATTATAAAATTTGAGCAATTTTGAACATTTTCACTTTGTCAAATAAAAGAATAGTTTATTAAATAACCAAAGTTTATGCTCTTTGGCAGTATCATGCAAATACCCATTAAACGTTGAGCCTATCATGCTTTTTTTGCTACTCCTATCCTTTAGTTCACTTCTCTTTTTGTAAAATAAATTAAAGGGAAATATGTAGTCCATGTCTGTTTTTTCAGTTTTCTCTATACTTTCATCAATTTTAATGATAAATTATGTGCTAAAAAAAAAATTGTAATAAATTAAATATATATATATATATTCTTAATCAAATAGAAATATGTAATTATGAAATAAATTAAGGGAAAACATTAAGCATGATCCAAACTAATTAAGATGTATATAGTGATCAATTTGTTCAGTCCTACTAGGGCCATTTGATTTAATGAAACATCGTCCATCTATCGTCAAATTATGAGTTTTGGAAATATTTGCTACTATTTTTAAAAATAAAAATAAGTGCAAGGGGTAGGACACAAGAAAAAATTGGAAGAAATTGAGGGAAGGGTATCCAAATTGTTTGATTCTTTTTTCTTTTCTTTTTTTCTCTCTTTAATGAATTGTCTAGTTTTGTCCATTCACTTTAATCATATTTATTGTTAACTAAAAAGTATGAGTAAGTTTATTAAAATAGAGATAAATAAAAAATAAAAAATTATTTGGACAAGACTTGTCTACTCACCTATCAGTCGTTCATTTCTACTAACAGTTGATGTGGTCCAATTACAAATATAGACATAGTCTTAATTGCAAAATTAAAAAAATGATAAATAAAGAAATTAGAGAATGTGTATTTCAAAAACTAAATACACATTTATCTCCTGAATACAGATCATTTCCTGAGGACATCTCTCTCCCACCCTCTCCAAAATTAATCTGAGGACTAATATTAAGACATGTCATTTGTTAAGACACGTCATTTGCCACATCTCTATCTCCTCAACCTCTCTCTCTCTCTCTCTCTCTAAATCGTAGATACAAGATCAAAATTTTCTCTTCCCTTTTTATTTCCTTTCATTCCCAAATTTTACTTACACCTACTAAAACGGGAGAGATATGTCATAAATAGAGGATCTGTATCCTTATTACCAACACCTTTCTTTTATCTCTCCTAAATCTCTTAAACTTATCCTTATTCTCTCTAAGTTCTTGCTTCACTCTCGCCAACAACGGAGGACAGGGCACTACTCTTCTTTCACAATCTTTTTTTTTTCTGTTCTTTTCAGAAAGTTAACCTCTATCATAGTCACCGTGTTTGATGCTTATTCTTTTGAAATCAAAACCCTATATATTTGGTCAGTCATTCACACACACCTTCTATACTATAATTGAAACCTCAGAGATTGACCAATCGAAAATCATAGATATATGTTGTTGGACACAAACAAAAAAAACCATAGACAGATGAATGATTGATACCTTAGAAATTGGGCAGTAAATATAAAATTACTTTTTTAGAATGTTCTCATTTATTTATTTATTTATTCTAGTTAAAGGCTTGAAAAAATTTAGAATAGTGGATTGGATCTTGATTACTTTGTGCAAACCAAACATGTTTTCGTGTCTTATTTTTTAAAAATTTCTCGTATCGCCATATCCATATTGTGTTATATCCATCTGCTTTTCTTTTTCTTTTCTTTTTTTGTTGAAATTGTTGTATTTGTATTGTGTCCCATAGCTGTATCAGTACTTCTTGAATCATACACAATCATCTTCAAAATAATGTTATAAACCACTTATATGTATCATTTTATTATTATCATAATAAGAATTTATATTATAAATACAAAATATGTTACATTAATGTTATTTCAATTTACTAACCAACTTAGCAATGGGCATTAGGTCATCCTTACTCACCGCTAATGTGATCCAATCACAAATGTGCATATAATCTTAATTACAAAATCAGAAAAATGATAAATAAAGACAATAACTTGGGAATTATTTGGTAACATTTCTGTTTATGTTTTCCTCATTTCTTATTTATATTTCTTGGTGTTTCGATTTTTGATGTTTCTTTCTAAACAAAATTATTATTTGGTAATAAAATACATTAAAAATTAAAATTTATCCTGCCAATAGAAGAAGGTTAGAGTGAGTTTTACCAAATCACTAGATGGAGGCTTGAAACAGTACTCATGAATTATACGTTAACCTGATTTGTATGATTGTATCCCTCAACAAACTCATTATCTGGGAGAGTTTTATTATGAAAACAACCCCATTTATTTTTGTAGATGACTAATTGTAATTTTACATAAACATTAGTATAATACCTGTACAAATAAACATTAGTATAATTTCAAATTAAAATTTCCATCTGCGTGTAAAAGCTGAAAAAGCAAAAACGTACAAGATAGGTGTACTGTACAAAGAGAATTGTTTTGCCAATCACTTTGAATTGGTTATTTGAATTACTGTAGATTCATCTTCGCGTCCTACAGCCCCTACTTGCTAACTCTCAAATTTATTTATTTGTTTGCATTTTCAAAAACCAATTGCTTCCTCCAACAATTCAATTCATTCTTTTGTCACTAAGTTGATGTATCAAAGACTATATTTTCATGTCTTTCGACACATATACAATGTAGTTGTCTTTTGACATATATATAATGTATTTTAGAAGGTTGAGAAAGGTGCAGTATCGAGTCTTGACTTGATGAATGACATAATTTTGTTCAGTTTGATAAATTCTCTTTCGACTCGAAAGGAGTGTTTTTTGGGTGGAAATGACCCATTCAGAATGACCCCACTAGCTTCAGCTTGTAAATCATATAAATTTTTGGTTGAAAACTCTTATTTAGGGCTCCCAAATCACATTTTCTTATCTTACCGAAAGTTTGTTAATTATTTCAGAATTTTTGTTCAATGTTTTACAAAAATTGGATTCATCTCAAATTTTATATTTAGTTGTTTTTATTGATTAAGTTTCTTATTCTATTTTTCAGAATTTTTAAAGAGAATTTTTTTAAAAAAAAATTACTTATTATTTATTTTTTATATTAAAGGTATTTTTAATTTACTTAGCTAATAAGTTTTCGTATAAGTATACATACACTGTAAGAGCTGATTTTAATATTTGATTAATAATATTTTAATTTTTGTTTAACTTTGTTGATTCAAAATTATAACTTTGTGAATTCAAAATTATAATTTTATGAATTCAATGTCTAAATTTTTTTTCTTCTCATTTATTGATAAAAAATATATTCACACACCTATATGTTCATATGAGAATTTGAACTCTCGACTTCTTCCTTGGAAGGCAAGAAAATACAACTAAACTATAACATTTAAAAGTATTTCTTACATAATGGTACACAATAGATAGTTCGCTTATTAACTAGTACAAACAGTGCATTCAAATTTTAATAAATACAGACAGTGGAATCAGATTTTGTATCTAATACAACTTCAAGTCCTTCTAACACTTGGCATCGGCATCGGCATCGGCATCGGTATCGGCATCGGCATCGGCATTGGCATTGACGGGCATTTCTCTGAGTTCGATGCCATCAACATTGGCATTGGCGTTGACGGGCATTTCTCTGATTTTTCCACAAAGTAGCATCGTTGTAGCAATTATTATTATCACTATCGCTATAAAGCTGTAATTTTCCAAATTACATGTTAGTTTTGAGGATATTTATTTTCACAGAACAATATAATGCATTTCACTGTAGCAATCCAATCTTATTGTCTAGTATACAAAACAGTATTCACAATTTGCTTTTTTTCAACAAAATATAAATGAAATAACAAAATTGTCCTTTTAAAAAATTCCAAAAATATTCTTACACTCCACAATGGAGTAAAGGATACTAAAATAATAATAATAATAAAAATAAAAATAAAGGTAGAGTAAAGTAAAGTAAAATTGTTTGTACCTTGTCAAATAAAGCTTCTCGTTCAGCAGCGAGGATCCAAATACTACCATTACTATGAGGCCCATCGGACTACATGCAGAAACAAATACTGGGCCCATTTTAGAAACGCAAAAAGTGATGATTGTTGTATTCAGCCCAGACCCGATGACTCCCTAAAAAACAAGAAGCCCTTATCTGTGGCTACACATTAAACAAATAAAAGATGTGTTTATTTATAACAATGATTATGTAAATATTAGTAGTACCACAAAAAGTGCAGCCCAAAGTTTGATATCCCATCCTAGCTTCCACTGGGCCCAATCCTTCTCCACACATAGGGCATATATAGTAGCCTGAATTGCACCCATTACATTGATCAAAGAGGGGATTAGTAAAATGCTTTCTCTATCATCCTCAATAATGCTCTCTCGATCATCCTCAATCTTCTTCTGCAATCAAAGTGAAGCAAGAAAACTATTATCGTTAGAATGGTATTACCAAAAAAGTCTAAGATCCTCCCCGCACTCGAGAGGGGTCGTGTACCGTACCAAGGGTTGATATTGGATCACAAGATGAGACCGACTCAAATTCTGACCTAATTTGAATTCGGCTCCAAAATTTAAAGCCATCAAAAAATGGGCTTTATACCTACTCCATTTCAACAAGCCCTATGCTCCTCAAGATTATGGAACTTGAGTGAGCCAACTTAAAACGAACCCAAGTCCAACCAAATCTTTGAATGGTCTCAAATTAAAATCATAATATTATTTAAACAAAGTAGTATGTACCTGAAGTATCAAGGATACTGCATTAGACAGAGTGGCCATTACAGCTAGACCTAATCCCAACACCAAATTGTGATTCTCTTCTGTCTCATGTATGATATGGGAGAGCAGGTTAAATTTGACCGACCCAATGTTGATCTCCATAAGGTGACAGAAAGTGAGGAGCGCAACACCTACTGGGCTCAATATGATCCAAATTATTTTTAATTTCCCAGCTAATGTTCTAAGTTCTAAGGTCTCAAACCTGCCAAAAAAATAAAATAATAATAATAATATTTTTTTTCCTGAATAAAATAATAATAATATATAATAATAAAATAAGAAAAAGAAAGACAATAAAGAATAAGTCTAAGATTATTAAGCACCCGAATTTTATTGCAAGGATGAATGTAACAACAGGAGTAAGGTTGACAATAACTGTGGTAAAAGTTGCAGACGTAAAACGCAAGCTCTCTAAGTACAAATTCTGATAAAGAGGACCCCTGGAATTAATATTAATTAAAAAAATTGTTAGTTTGATGAAAAGCTATAAAAATAAAAAAAATAAAAAATAAAAATAAAAAAAGAAGTAATGTTGACTAAAGAATAAAAACAAACATTAAATTTTACATAAAATTGATTGTAAAACCTATACAAGTCCAATGGAGAGTTGCAACCGTTGATATGATATGTTACAGGGACGGAGCCAATGAAGACCACGTGCCCCCCCTTCCCTGAGTTGGCCAACAACCTATAATATATGTGGTAATTTTTTTAAAAAAATTCATATATATGAAAAAATTTATATAGTGCCCCCCTCAAATTTATGGTTCTTAAAATTATATTCTTATTTTTTCTTTATTTTTTCTTTTACTCTTCATATTTCTTAAATTTCCTTAGTAGAAAAAGTCAAAAATCTTCTTCTTCAATTGAAACTTTTTAACTATTTCCTATTAAAGTTCTTTTATTTCTCTTTCCTTTTATATTTTAATAATTTTCTTCTTCTTTGTCTTTTTTAATTTTATAGTTGTTATATATATATATATATATATATATATGTATTCCGTATTGTTTTTTTTTTTTTTTTTTTTTTAAGGCAGTGTGCCCCCCTCACTTGAAATCCTGGCTCCGTCACTGGATATGTATGATTTTACCTACCCAAACAATCCACATAGAAATATAAGACATGTCCGTTTCCGTGTCAGATTCGGCTTGTTTCCCCTGCAATATTTAGACAAATATTTATTCGTCTAAGACTATATATCTAAATAATAAATTATTGTACGTTGTATTAAAAAATATTGAAGCCCTAAGTACTAGAAATACATGAGAAAAAGTTGAACAAAAAGAAAAAGATCTAGAATTAATATAGGATTAGAAAGTACACGAGTCGACTCAGTGTAAACTTGAACTCTGAGTCAACTCGGTATAAACATAATGACTGATCAGCAAAGAAGGGCTCATTTGCCCATTAAACCCCACTTGAAGCATATGAGCACAAGTCGACTCGGTGTAAACTTGATGAATGCAAAGCAAAGAAGAAGAGGGGGAAAAAGAGAGCAAAATAAATAATTTAACCCTGAGTAGACTCGGTGTAACCTTGATTACTGAAAAGCGAAGAAGCGTTTTGCCCATTAACGCCAACATGAAGCATGAGCATGACTCGACAAACCAAAGAAGAGCAAACTTGATGACTGAAAAGCAAAGAAGAGGTCGACGCCAAACCACATAGGAAAAGCAAGCAAAACAAACAGGAATTAGGAATCATAATTCATTGGATCTCTTCTGCTTTTCTTAGGAGTTTTCGGCATATGGCGTCCATGAGTGGACTCAGCAGTCAGCACTACTTGGAACAAAAGCGAAAAAATCCAATGAATTAATGGACATACGTATATGAGTTATTGTACACAATAAACTATAAAAGAAGGGTTAATATGTACCAGATGACGAGAGGAGCTAGTGAGTTTGTGGCGAAGATAAATCGATATGCAACAAGAACGGAGATGGGCATACCCTTGCTTATTGCGACTTCGTAGAATATATTAACTATTGGAATATCGATCTGTGCAAGCAACATAAGAAGAAATGGGAGCAGCATTTTCGCTACTGGTTGGAAATGGAATGCTTGGATTTATGAAACAATAGTTCCATGCATATAAAGGGCAGAAGTGACGTTGTGATTGTGTGTGTCTTTTTTTTTTCCATCATATTTTATTCCTTTGACCACATCTATAGATCTAGCGGCTAAGAGACGGTTGTGATTTTATTCCTGTGACCACATCTATACATCTAGCGGCTAACAGACATCTAGCCACCTTTTTTTTAATTATAGTGACTATTGGTAGTATCTGCCAAGTGTTTTTCATTAGAATCTGCCACTTTTTGTTTTTACTAAGTTTTTTTTCATTATAGTGACTATTGGCATTATCTGCCACTTTGTTTTTTGACAAGTTTTTTTTCATTATATTGACTATTCACATCATCTGCCACTTACCATTGGTATCGTCTGCCACTAGTTTTTTTGACAAGTATTTTTTATATTATATTGACTATTGGTATCATCTGCCACATTTTTTTTGACCAAGTTTTTTTTCATTATAGTGACTATTGGTATTATCTGCCACTTTTTTTTTTTTTTAACTGAGTTTTTTTTTTTCATTATATAGTGACTATTGGTATTATCTGACACTTTTTTTTTGACTTATTTTTTTTTTATTATAGTGACTATTGGTATTATCTGCCACTTTTTTTTTGACTAAGTTTTTTTTCATTACAGTGACTATTGGTATTATCTGCCACTTTTTTGCCACTTTTTTTTGAAAAAAAACTATTGACTAAGTTTTTTTCATTATAGTGACTATTGGTATTATCTGCCACTTTTTTTTTGACTAAGTTTTTTTTTTTATTATAGTGACTATTGGTATTATTTTTTTGACTAAGTTTTTTTTCATTATAGTGACTATTGGTAATATTTTTTTGACTAAGTTTTTTTTCATTATAGTGACTATTGGTAATATTTTTTTGACTAAGTTTTTTTTTTTTATTTGCCAAGTTTTTTCATTTGAGTTTTTTTGACAGGGACACTGAGTTTTTTTGACGGGGACACTGAGTTTTTTTTCATTATACAGGGATAATTTTTCATTATACAGGGACACTAAGTTTTTTTGACAGGATCACTGAGTTTTTTTGACGGGGACACTGATTTTTTTTGACGGGGACACTGATTTTTTTTTCATTATACAGGGATAATTTTTCATTATACAGGGACACTAAGTTTTTTTTGACAGGGACACTAAGTTTTTTTTCATTATAGTGACTATTTTCATTTGAATTTTTTTGAAAGGGACACTAAGTTTTTTTTCATTATAGTGACTATTTTCATTTGAATTTTTTTGACAGCACTTTGTGTGTGATATGTGACGTCAACCTCCTGAATGTTTTTTTTTAGAGACTTAAAAGTTATTAAGTTATGGTAACATTTAATTCATATATACTCAATACTTTTTCAGTCAATAATTGATGTGGGACAAAATTCTTCTTAGAATAATAGACTAAATGAGGAAGGTAGATCAACTTATCTAATTATTAAAATTAAAAAATTCAAGAATTTTAGGAAAGGAAGTAGTCATTTTACCTGCATCCTAACACCACCAAATATATATAAAGCCCAAACATAAACAATTCATGTCATATATTAGTTAAATTAAAAAATTTAAGAATTTTAGGAGAGCTAGTAGTCATTTTACCTGCATCCTAACACCACCAAATATATATAAAGCCCAAACATAAACAATTCATCATCATATATTAGCAAAATTTTATATTTCAAATTTAAAAATTAAACTAACCTTCCGGAGATAAAATCTCATATGCAAAGAAGGTACTGCTATCTTATCAACTTTAACTAATTTTAAGTGTTAATTAAAATTTTGTTAACTATTTCCACCTGATTATAATTCTTGAGTAGAGTTTTTATTTCAACTTTAACTAATTTAAATGTAAAGTGGAGAAAAAAAAATTCACTTGTTGCTTAACTAATTTAAACATAAAGTGGAGAAAAAAAATTCACTTGTTGCATTTGATGATAAATAGATTTGTTTCGATTTTCTTATTATTATTTTTAATAAGTTAATTAATTATTTTTTATTTTTCTTGTCAAATAATTATTAGTGTTGCATAAAAATAATTGGACTAATTGATTAAAAGAAAAAAATTGAATAATCAATTACCGAAAATAAAAATTAATTTGAATCCAATCCAATAATAACCTTATCAAATTCAGATTAGACTGATCCAACCCAAATCCTTTCAGCGGTCTAACACCTTATTACTTCTATTTTATTTTGAAAAGGTCAAAATGTTTAATGGACTGTTATTTTCAAGCTAACCAACCCCTTGATCGTTTCGCCGGGAAAGGATTGTAAGTGGATTATGATAGATGATTGATTTTACACATTGACTTCATCAGTTTTGAAGTACTTAATGAAAGGGAAGGCCTTTTTGTCTTGTGTTAGATAGGTTGCTTTAGGAGGAATTCCTGTCTACAGCTTGGATCAAGGGGTTGGTTAGCTTGAAAGCACCAGTGACTTGGGAATGATTGGGTTGTTGAAGAGCAAAGCTTCCCAGTGGTCCGAAAAGAATGCCTTATGCGGGCTATTGAAAATTTATCCATTTGATCATTGTTAAAAAATAATAATGCGGAGTATTAGGCTATTTAGGAGAAATTCAATACGTAGAAGTAGAATTGATTCGATGCAATTTGATATCTTACTGACCGGATTAAATCTTATCAGAGATTCGATAATGGTATTCATATTTTACCAATACGATGTAAGATTATTTATTAATTGTGTGGCCCACATGATTTGGACAAGTGATTTACTTATATTATTTGATGGTTAAATAAAATAGATATCAAATTAATATTATATTATTTGGTCAACTTATAAATTACATCTTTTCTTATTTATTTCTTACTTTGATGGAATTAAGGTTACTAAAAAGGAAAATCAGTCATCTCTCTACCTTTATAAAGTGCGTATTCCCCATCAATTATGTACACTAATGAAAATAACACATATAAGGTTTAAGTGTGCAAAAGGTCAAGAGAGAGAAATCAGTTTCCACACTTTGACTTGCAATTTATCACGTTATTCGTTCCGCAAAAAGGATTTCGATGTTTGGCTTGATCTCTCAATTACAGATCAATGTATTTATATTTAACTACTTTATTTATGTATTTTAGCAATGTGAAGATAATGAAGTTCTAAGATCTTATGATTCATATTTATTTGTGATTAATGATTTGCTCAGAGCTTATGGTTTAGGAACTCGTTATTTTCCACTAAAGTTTGCATAAATAATATATATATATATATATATATATATATATATATATATATATAAATTTAAATTTAAATTAAATAATTAAATTTGTTTTGGAATCATGGGTGCATAATGGGTTAGTATGATAGATCAGTTGATTAATTTATTTTGGTTTGCATGATCAATTTTTGAGCCTGTAAATTGATTTCCATAAATTGATTTCTTATCCTCATTGAATTGCCTGGTAGTTGAAGTATATGTATGAGTTTGTTTTTTTATTCCGTGCATAACTAGAATAGCAATTGGAATTGAAATAGTTGGTTTTGGTTTTTGCGTAAATCGAGGTGATGAATTTTAATGTTAACTACTGATTTTTGTACAAACTTATATATATACTTGTTATCATATATCATTAATTACATATATGATAAATTAATAGAGAATGATTTAGTTTATTGTAGAAAATTAAATTTCTAGAATAATGTGTGAGTTTAGAAATTTAATGTAATTTTGTTACACATACAAATAAATTATTGTTTTGTATCCAAACATACATACATATTGGAGAATCAATTTTAAATCGATTCAATTATGATCTTCAAGTCCGAAAATAAAAATAACATATTTTATTATGTATATAAAGTAAAAGGATATTTTTTATTGAATTTTTGGACTATTAAGTTTCTGGGATCGAACCTACCTAAATTTGGATCGATTAGTATGAGTATGTGTGTATAATGTTAAATGGGTAAATTAATGATTAATTAGTTACTATCTAATTTAATATTCATATTATGCAAGGGTAAGTAGCTACCAAAATGGTCTAACCATAATGGTCGATGAATATTAATTTTAGTAGTAAATATAATTTAATGATGAATTAATCACTATCTAATTTAATATTTATATTATGTGAATATTGGTAGCTACCAAAGTGGCCCAATCATAATGATTGATGAATATTAATTTTTTGTAGTAGACATAATTAATCATAAATTAGTTACTATCTAATTTAATATTCATATTATGTAAAGGTTTGTAGCTACCAAAATGGTCTAGCCATAATGGTTGATGAATATTAATTTTAGTGGTAAACATAATTGCAATATTTCATGAATTATGATACTTATAATTTTTTGTGATATTGATGAATATTGGGTTTATTTGACCATGAGAAATAATTCTCCAAAGGGAATTGATTTTCAAGTGATTAAATAAAAATTAAGGAGTTGTATGTATTTATTAATTAGGTAGATATAGGATATCCAAAGGTAACTTATTTATTTAATTAAATAATGTATCACCAATGAAGGTATACATATAAATACATGTAAGCATCATTATTAGTATTTTATAGTTGCCACCCAAAGGGGTACTATAGTTATACATTGTATTTATATTTTTAAGTTATATATACGTGTTGTTAACTCAAAGTATTATTATTGTGAACATTTTATCTTATTATGTTTGTTTTATTGAATCCCTTAATTCACATGCTACATCTGTTCTGATTCTCAATAGGACTAACTTCTCATAATGGAATGAATAAGTTGAGTTGAAAAATTTAGATGTCTTAAATCTTAATTTAGTATTTTAAATTGAGAAACCTACTGTTATTAATGATAAAGACAGTGAGGGAGAAAAGATTCTCCATAAAGTTTGGGAGAGATCGAACAAATTAAGCATTATAGTTATGCGAATAATTGTTTCACATAGTGATAGTGGTAAGGAATATTTGACTAGAAGAATGTTTTCATATTGTAGATAAATATT